CTGTTGCTGACAAGTTGGGGCCTCGCAACACTATAAGCTTTAAAGGAAGTTTTGAAGTATTATCCTCTAATTTCAGCACATCTTACCTGCGTTTTCTAATATGATGGTTTTTCGTAATTTTTCTAGTGTTTACAATGAAATTTGAATCATATTAAAACTTTGGAGAATGCTACGAAATCCCAAATTTCTATTATTGAAGTACAGAAAATGCAGTTTTATTAATTTTTCTTTACAGACAAGTACAGAATCGTCACCATTATTTGCTGTGAGTACAAGTCATTTTATTTATTTTTTTTTTTTCCTTACCGAAGATCAATTGAGGAGTTCTGAAATTCCACTCGTTTATGTTCAACTCCCACTCACTTGAACCTAGGCTTTCACGATAAGATAATTTAAGCACAGGTCTGTAGGAAAAAAGTTATGCTCTTTCAAGGTCAAACTTTTCTCTTTCAACACTCGAGGCAGTGACGTATCTTAATTTGTCATGGATCTGATGTTTGCTGTAAGGCTCTCTGCTCAATGAGATCACTTTATTCATAGAAGTCGGTAAAAACCTTGCTTTGGAGTAGGACGTTTACGTCACCACTCGGGTTGACCTTGGTTGAAAAGAACAAACTTTGTAGTACAGTAACCTTGAGCAGAGATATCCGTCTGAAATCTCCTTGCGCAGGATGCGTGGTTGAGGTTGTCCATTTTGTTCTTCGAAAATTATTTGTTTCTTATAAATAAATTGTTGAATATTATAAATAGTGTATTTTAATAAACTCAGTAGGGAGGAATTAAGGTTGACACTAGAATCTGAAAGTAATGAATAATTAGAACCAGCGTAACGCTCATTTTTCATCTTTCCTGCTTCCAAAATACCTAATGTCTCTAGAGTGGCGTTCGAACTACAAGGGTGGTGGATAATGGTTATCCATATCAAGGATTTGGCGATTGGGTCACCTAAACTCCAGTCGCTCTTTAAAAGGGTGAGTATATAAGGTACTTCTCCCGCCCAGTTTAAAGGTATGGTACTGGCCAGTTTGTTATTATGTCCCAGCTAATTCAGAAGTCAAACAACAAAAATCAGCGTTATATTTACAAAATTTTCACAGGACTAGTTTCGATGGTTTTACCGAACCACCATCTTCAGCTGCAAAACCGCAAATGAACAAGATAGGAAATAATGATTAGATAAGATAAGAAAGCCTGGACAAGGAGATAAGCAACTGGCGCCATCTGTTGGTGAAACCAGAACTTAAAACATAATTTCTTTAAAGGCCGAAGGCAAATTTGGATTGGAATTAGGATCGTTAACTAGAACAGAAAGATTTTTATGAATGTGAAATGCCTCTAGAAAATCCAGTTCTCCAATGGAAGATGTTTTCTGAATAATTTTGGCAGCAGAAAAAACTGAAAGTGTGGTTTTTTCGGACCAACAATGTTGAGCAACAGAAGACTTCTGTGTTTCCTTTTTTCTAACATATGCCTCATGTTCCTTGACGCGAAATTTTAAGGCTCTCTTAGTTTGGCCAATGTAAATTAAACCACACTGGCAAGGAATCCTATAAATACCCCAGGAATTCATATCCGGAATGGGGTCCTTGAGTATGGAACTCGGAATTTTATTGATGGGAGAATAAACAACCCGAAAGTTAAATTTCTGCAAAATATGTGCAACTTTATAGCTAATTGATGGAAAGAAGGGAATGACAACAGAATTTTATTAATCTCCTAAAACAAGATTGTGCCTTTTAGTGTGTTGAGATGAGAATTTTTTAACTGCTTGATTAATAATGTTGGGTGGAAAGCCCCTGTCAATAGCTATTGCTTTTAAATACTTTAGTTCTTCATCAAGGGCTAGTTTGGAGGAGCAAAGTTGAAGAGCACGGAAAACATAGGAATAAAATGAAGCTAACTTTTGTTTAGTCGGATGACATGATTTAAAGTGTGGTGGAAGGCAAACCGATGAAGGTTTACGGTAAACCATAGTACTGAAGTTGGATGTGTTACGTGTGACCAGAATGTCGAGAAACGGAAGAGAATTGCAAGTCTCAAGTTCAAAAGTGAACTGAATAGCAGGATCAATAGAATTCATTGTTGAAAGAACTTTATTTAAATCATCTTTATTACCTTCAAACAGAGTAAAAGTATCGTCTACGTAGCGGAACCATGCCGGGAAGTTTAATGTTTCAAACAATTTTGATTCATAATAATGCATGTAGATATCAGCCAGGATGGGACTGAGGGGGCTTCCCATGGCTAATCCCTCAGTTTGCTTGTAATATTTATTTTGGAAAACAAAATGTGTTTGTTTCAAACAGAGTTGAGTGAAAGAAATTAGCTCATCTATTTCGATGCAAGAGAAATGAAATTCGCGAAGTCTGGTTTCTAGACATCTTAATGCACCCTCCACTGGAACATTGGTGAATAATGATTTTACATCAAAAGAAACCATGAGTAAATTACTAGGAGAAATGTTTTAACTTTTTTTACAAACTCTATTGAATTTTTTATGGTGTAAATGTATTGTCTATATAGAGTTGAAAATCTAGAAACTAAATATTTTAGCTAATGGATACGAGGCAGTACCTAAATTTGATACAATAGGGCGGAATAGAATACCACTTTTATGAATTTTGGGAAGAGCATATAATCTGGCACAATTCGCAACAGATGGGATAAGTGAATGTTTTAAGTTGGCTGAAATGATTTGCGAAGATTTGATCGCAGTTTTTATTTTTGACAAATCCGAAGGTGAAGGATCTTTAGGGATCGGATTATATGGGTCCTTCGTTTAAGAGTTTAGTGACACCATCGATGTAAGTGTTCCTATCCATGACGACTATCTGGCCACTTTTGTCGGCCTTTGAAATAATAATATCCGGGTTAGAATGAATTTCACGCAATGTAGCTCTTTCTCTCGCAGTTAGATTTGGTTTCAAAGGTTTATTATTGAATTTCACATTATGAGCGATAAGATGCCTAATCATTTCTTTCTGTGAATCTGAAACTTTACTGAACTTGAAAGCTTTTTCGATAGGAGCTAAAAGAAAGATGGTGGTTCGGTAAAACCATCGAAACTAGTCCTGTGAAAATTTTGTAAATATAACGCTGATTTTTGTTGTTTGACTTCTGAATTAGTATTTATTCGGCGTGTTATTGTGTCTTAATGTCCCAGCTACTTGCTAAAAATTTTAAAAAAATGCCAACTATTCACTAATTAAAAATACTTTTGATGCTTCTCTGCGCTACTGTTCTGCCACCCATACGGTACAGTGGGTACTGACTCTTACTATTGTAGCAATGGATGTGTGCTAGCAAACCGGTGATGACATGCATGTTTGTATGTGTGTGTTTTTCTATGTAGTAAACAGGAATTCAAAATGTATTGGAAAGACAGAACTTTTATTGTATTCATTTATAACTTTTAAGAAATTAAAGATAAGGGGAAAAATTTTTATTTCCTAAAAGACTAGTCAGTTGTATAATCCAAACGCATAAGATTCCCTACTTCTTTCCCTAAATAGCGAAACAGGCAACTCAGTGACTGAATTTTAATGAAATCAAGGAGGAATCTACTTACGTTTATTGGTTTAATGGTCACATACACCATATGCAAAAAACACCGCTTGCTGTTCTAAGATTTGCTTATTGTGTCCTTGTTCTTCTAGATTGGATGTTCTACTTGTTTTGCATAGCCTTTATTCAGAACACAGAAAAAAGTGGGAGAAAACACAAAAACGTGCCATATAAAGGTGTTTTCCTTTATGGATGGATGGGGAATGTGGATCCTAATATCATAAATGTGGGTGATTATAAAGGATTAGTTAGTAATTCTTAGTTAAAACTTGCGGAAATTCTGCAAAAAATAGAAAAACGTAAATCAGAGACATCTATATAGTTCCTTATATCTTACTTTTATACCTTTGTAAGTTTGATATAATTAACATTAAGTGTACAAGAAATTGGACAGGATCAAAGGTAGATTGGGTCATTTTGAATATGGTGAAGACGTGAGGGCTATCTGCCTAAAAGTAGGGATGACTTCGAGGAAGATATTTTGAGGCAACGGGTTAGCATTCACGTTACACATGGAGAAAAACATGAAAAACAACCATGCCGCCAGGTCGTACGCCTGGGATCGAACTCAAAGCAGGTCGAACTACCAGTGTTCAGCGGTCTTAACCACTCGGCCACCGGTGGATCGGAAAGGACAATGAGGTTCTTTCGTTGGTATCCGAGCTCTGTATAGCGGGGATCGAGTGTACTATAATTTTTATTAGAATTTACTTCAGACTAACTATTAACTTCAACAGATAAATAAACTTTAACAGACTTATAAACTGTGTACTATAATGAACAGTGAACTATTTATGAATTATTAATTATTTATCAACTGTGAACTATTATTGCAATTCAACAAACCATCAAAATCCTATTTTATTTATTATGTATATAACCAAAATTTTTTTATCTAAATCTTTATTTGTATTCTACATTACGCATTCTATATTCTATGTGCGTACCATCAAAATTTCTGTTAATATCTTTATGAATTCTCTCAATGTATGTCAAGTATATGTCAAAATTATGTGTACATCAAAATCTAAATTTTTATTGTAATATAAAATTTTAAATAAACGTGGTCCCATTGAGTGAGCAATAAAGCTGAAAGTCTTCATGGCGGCACAGCTGCTTCTCCAGTGGTCTCCTGTACTAGTATAACTTATGGTTCAATGAGTCCAGAAAATTTCACGTCCGCTAACCAACAGGAAAACTTTCTTTGAAATTTGCTCGAAAACAAACCTTTCAATCTCAGTTGCACTTTTTATGTTCGAAATTGATAGCTTAACATATAACAAACTGCCGAAACGAAAGCTCTTTCGACTGAAGAAATACTTTTCAAGTGTGCAAGATATTCATATGTGGTGAAATAGTCACACTCTTTCAGTGAGAAGCTCATTTTAATAAACGTTTTCTTAGTATATTAAAGACAAAGGTTTTAAAAAGCGCTATACAAATTGAAAACAGTTTATTGACAAAAGTCAGACCATTTTCTCAAACATTTAATAAAATAATGCCAAAGATGGGAGAGAGTATTTTTTAAAATTTGATTTTAAATATCAAGAACGTAAGGCATTCAGAATTATGACAAACTGCTATACATATTGCTGATTGCAAATGAAAAATATTTCAGAAATTCTGTCCTTTTCGTCTTCATTGTTGGTGTGAGGAGACCTGATTCCACCGTAATCGGCTCAGGATGCAGATATATGGCTTTCACCTGAAAAAAGCAATTAAAAAGACTTCATAAATTCTTATACAGATAAAGGCATTAAAGAATTTTTCTAAGGTTGAAAAACTAAAATTGCATGCCATAAAATTTCCTTTAAAATAAATAATGATTTAAAATATCTGCTTCGAATTAGTAATCATAAAACATATCTATCTTTCTTAATTTCGAAATATTTTAAAATAAAGAAAATAATAATAAAAATTAATTTTATTTTAGTTGTTTCCCTTTTGTAAATTTTCTTATGTTTTCCTTTCTATTAATTGTCTAAAGTATTTACCGAGAACTGGAAATATGTTGCATAAATAAGATCCTGAAATTTTATTTTAATTAAAACAACTTTTGAATTGAGCAATTAAAATTAAATTAATTCCATTTGTCTAATGTCTTTTAAATCTAAAACATTTGAAATACTTCCTTAACTGTTGAAAGTTTTGTTTATTTTAACTATCTTATTTATTCTATTGCCTATTTTCTGAACTTGCTTCGAACACAGAAGTTTCCCACTCTGACTAAATCTAAAATATTTAAAATAATTCCTTAACTGATGAAAGTCATTTGCCTATTTTCTGAAATTGCTTGTAGCACAGAAATTTCAGAGTCAAGTTTTTCTCTTCAAACTTTATATGTGCTTTTGGATGTTACCCAAAGGGTGTTTTAAATACGAACATTTTTTGCATTTTAAATCTTTGTGATTATTTCTGGAATAATTTTTTGAAGCAGAATTATAGTAGACTCTGATACAAATATGCGCCGTTTGCAGGCATAAAAATAACTGATTTGAACATGATTTTGAAAGCTTAGACAATCAGACATTTACGTGAAAAGTTGCCTCGCATTAGTAGCTCAAATACTCTGAGAAGGGAAACTGAAATTGGTAAATGAACATTTTATTTGGTTATTTATATTAAGGATTTTAATATAGTTCCTAAAATGTGAACGACAGAATAAAATAATTCATTTTCCACTTAATTTTCTTCCAATGAAACTTTGCATTTTACATGTCAGTTTGCATTATATGTAAAGATCGTAAATACCTGTTCAAAGGATTTCAAACCAGCCTCTTTTCCTATTTTGGTAACGTCAGCGAGAATAAAATTCACGACGTCCTTGAAAAACAAATGAAGAAAAGTAAGTGAAAGAGAAAATTTTAAAAGGTTAATGCGTACACTTGTCTCATTTTATAGATATATTATTTTGAAAAATTATGTGTACAGGTTATTAATACTTGGTTTTAAATTTGTATAGGATTAAAAAAATACTGAAATGGCAGCGAATTACAAGTGCAAGAATCATGCAAATTATTTGTTCCATCTATTTTGCTGGTAATGTACGATCAGGCTATGGAAAGTTTAAATACAATTTTGCAGTCAGTTTTCCGGGCACTGAACAATTTATGCTGTTATTTTGAAAATACAGTAAATAATCTTATGTAAATATTCTACATCACATGACACACCTAACAATGAATATGTAATAACAGCATAAAATGTCGCAAATGATTACCAGTATAGAACCTAGTTGAACAAGTTGACTTACTGGCAATTAAGACACATCACCAAAATCTGTTAGACGAGCATAATCTTCTTCGAGAAAATTCCAAAACGATTCTCTGAGTATTCTTGACCCATTGAGTTAAATTGAAAGAATCAATTCATGGCATCCTTGTTGAGGGGTGAATGGTTGTTATTAAACTCTCTTTCAATATAATCAAGTCAGTGATCAAATTGATCAAATAAAAAAGTTTGATAAAAGGATAGTAGTACATCTAGTAATTAAAGAGTCACATACGTTTTCTTCCACATATGTTCCCTTCTAAACAGAAAAATAGAAAGCAGAGGCTTATAGATGTGATGTGGATTATATGTGATAATGGTGGATTTGCTCACCATTATCACAGGTTCAATACAATACAATATTATAAAACAGTCAACAGTGTACACGAAGACAGTAAGAGATTATTGATCACTGACGACAATAATAGGTTATTGATGAGACAGGAATCATACATGATAATAGAAGATTTTTTGTCCAAAGATTCAGTGCATATTATGTACCATAAAGCAATGGAAAATCAGCGGTGTTCTTGAAAACAATAAGAGTGAAGGCAATAATAAATTACTGATGTAACATGGATCGTACATGATAATGGTGGATTTCCTGTCCAGAGGTTAAATGCATGCTATGCAACCAAAAGCGATGGAAAATCGACAATGTATCTAAAGACAAGAAGAGATTATAGATGACTGAAGAACAAAATCGATTATTAATGTGACATGGATCATACATGGTAATGAGGGATTTGCCATCCAGTTGCTGAAAGCATATTACTCGTATAAACCATTTAGCAACGAAAAGTCAATTGTGTACCTGAAGACAATAATTATAACTGCTGGGAAACATCTATAGATGCTCCTATGATAGATAATAGAATACACTAATACATCTTAGTAAAATACTGCCATGTTTATTCGAAAATAAAACCTTTTTTTTTTTTTTTTTTTTTTTTTTGGTATATTTTTGTTTTAAAATTTCTTAGTGTTTCATAATAGGGTATTTTAATAAACGAAATAGCATAATGAGAGTAAGGAGTTTAATTATTACACTATATATAATAACTAAACTTTTAAATACTAATTAAACCACATAGGTTGTAGAGTCATTAGGTTATTTTGAAAGCTAGAGACCTGAAAAATTAGCAATGCTCTCGTCGGGACTCGAACCTGGACCTCTCGAATACGCGCCGAGTGTGCTAACCTTTACACCACAAAGGCATGCAGAAAGAAGGAAGAAAATACCTTAAGGTAATTATCATATATATGAACTACATAATTACTCTTAGTTATAATAACCATATCCAGTTCAGCCATTTCAGTTTAGGTTTGAATGCACTGTATTGGTTATTGGTGTGCATCAAAACAAGTTAAGTAATAATTTATCATTTAATTAAGATCAAGGAGTCATGCGTTTTAAGGAGTCTTATTTATGAGCAAATACCGCATTTCTTTTCATATATACACATACTAAAATGCTTAAAGATCTTAGAACAGATACAAGAGATAAAATGCATAAAGCACCTACAGCTGTTCGTTTCTTTTCTGTTTCAAGATTATGCTTTTCTATATTCTCAGCAAACTGTGTGGAGTTAGTAATAGAAGTTAATTCATATTAATATTAAGTTATTTCGTATGGAAGATTCTATCCCATCTTTGCTATCTCCAGACTATTTATCAGGAGGTTATTGGATAGATATCTGTTTCAGTCATCATTCAGCTATTTATCACGGGTTTGACGAAAAGAGAGCTCTCAATAGAATCCCCAAGTTTAATTTTCAAGCAGTTATGAATAACATCGTTACATTTCTTTTACATTTCCGGGCTGTAGTTCGTATTTGGATCCTTAAACTCGATTGAATAAGCATAGAAATTAACTTAAATATGTATCAAAAATAAAAATTCGGATTTATGTTGTATCAATCTATATTGAAGCATCGCTGCCCTGATTGGTAGGGCTGCGATGGAACTAGTGCAATCGTGTACTTTTCGTTGCGATAAAATTCGTGGGCTTGTCCTGATATTACTGTCAAACAAATAAAATGCATTAAAATAACTACACCAGCTTGAGTTATAAAACTGTACATAAAAGAGAATCCTATTATTACATTGCACGAGAAGAAACTCTGGGGTTTTGTCATACTATATAAAACAGTGTAGAACGGAATTTCATGAAATTCAAAATCAGAAGTATAGAGTTGTTTAAATTGTTTTCAAATGCATCACATGCAAAGGAAAAGAGTAATAATTTCAGAAAGTGATTCTAAAGTATGTAAACTTTCATGCGTTTCTAGGATTAACATATAAATTTAGATTATATTTACCTTATTCTCACATATTTCTTTCCAAGTTCCTTTAATTGACTTGCTTTGGCACCAAGGTAGTAATGCGTCTTTATCTGGAACTGCAATGCCTACTAACCATGACTAAATTTAGAAATATATCAAGAACAGAAATATATTAGAATATTCCAAAATTACAGCATTAAGTTGAAACAATTGAACTATTGCTTAATTGCAAAATATAAATTTCTAGTAATTTATAAAAGAATAAACAAGTCAACTGGTTAAGTTATAGATCATAATACTCTATATATTATTTAAATTTTATTGATTCAGTACCTGACAACAAAATTCATTTTGTAGTGTTGTAATTTCCATTGTAACTGCTATTAGTAAACTTAACTCAAGTACAAATAAAGTAGCTTAATCTATAATTACCGTATATTTCTACGTATAGGAGCAGAAATTTTAGCAAATCTGTTACTAATAAAATTTTGGTGTCAGTTTACATAACCAGTTCAAAATGATCTACAAACGCTAATTCCACCATAAAATGATATTGTAGAGCGAAGCAGAAAAATATTATTAACATAAAGAAAAAAAATATTATTTTAATTTTATAGATCTTAATACATCCTAATCAAGTTGTAGAAACATTAGGTATTTTTTGGAAGGAGGCAAGGTGAAAATGAGCAAACGCCTTCGCCGGGAATCGAACCGCGGATCTCTGGAATACCAACCCATCGTGCAGAACCACTACACCACGAAGACACGCTAGGAAGGCGGGAGAAATACCTTATATTCCAAACTATATAAAGGCGAGTGGGGCGACTATATAAAGGGCAACTGGGGTTTTTAGGGGACCCAGTCGCCAAATCCTGGATGTGGAGAATCCTTATCCCACACCCTTTTAGTTAGGGTTCCACTTTAGAGACATTAGGTATTTTTTGGAAGCAAGAAAGATTGAAAAATTAGCAACGCCTTCGCCGGTAATGGAACCACGTACCTCTGAAATACCGGCCCAGCGTGCAGAACCACTACACCCACGAAGGCACACTAGGAAGGCGGGAGAAATACCTTATAAGGTTTCTTAATTTCAGCATTCGACTCAAAATTTTATGAATTATCGGATGTCACTCTTCTCTGTAAGAGAAAAGTATGCGTGAATGTAATCGTTCTCCAAATCATCATGAACATAGTTGAAATCAACTTCATGGATAACATCATCTTCAGTTTTGTCGGCTAACTCTACTTTGCAAAAGTGATAACTTTCAGTTTAAAACTAGCAGAATATGCAGTTCTCGTTTTATGTAGGCATCTGTTAGTATCTAGCGGAAATGTAGAACTCGTAAAATTGAGATTGCAGTTGAAGAGGAAAATTATGTCATTGTTTGAAAATGATTGAACACAGTGAGGAACTAAAGTAAAATTTGGCATACTACTACTAAAACGCTAAATGATGCGCTTCTCCAAAGTTGGGAAACTGAGAAAGATATATATTTTTTCTTCTATTTAAACTTGCCCAAACTTCTCGTGCACTACAAATGTGCATCATGAGGCTTTCACAAATAAATCAACTAAACGTATCACATACATTAAAAAAACAAAGGTCATCAGTCTCGCTTCCTCAAAAACACAGCCAAAGTCCCTTCTAGCTTTTTTAAATGAATCTTCAAGCATAATCTAAGGTTATTTAAGAGTAAGATAGAAGAATATTAAACGCACGTTTGAGGCACGTTTTCTAAAACTCATACATGTTACTTTACCTTACATTAAAACGAAACGAGTAATTTCAAAATTTACCACGACCATATAGAAACTGATGTACTGAAATTTGTATGTAAGAAGCAATCGAAATATAGTCTATAACAGAAAGGAAAAATTTCTTAGTGTGCTTAACAGTACAAGGTGAAGTGTATTCCTGATTCCACTTAGATAAAAACTTGTTTTTAACCATCGCCCTTCATACCATCGCCCATGTAACCACATGATTGTAAACCATCGCCCTTCCTATGAAGGGGCGGACGGTTACAACCATGCCTTCTCCGGGATTCGAACCAAGGCCCTTTGACATCGCAGTCAGCTTCCCTGACCACCATACTTACTGGGCAGCACGTAGTTGGAATTTATGAAGCTTTTAAATTCGAACTACGCAGGAGGTTTTTAAATCCTGGTTTAATTTTTTAAATCTTACTTTTAGGGTTACATACAAAAATGCAAGACAAAGTATCTTTTCTAGTATATTTTATTAAAACATTGTTACCTGTAAACTGTCGCCGTAAACAAATATCTGTGAAATAAATTTGGATGTCAAATAGATACTTTCTATTTTTTCAGGAACGATGTATTCTCCTTGTGAAAGTTTGAAAATATTCTTCTTTCTATCGATTATTTTCAAAGTTCCATTCTGTTTGGAATATTTGAAATACGAATTAAATTAAAATTCATTTAATAAATCAGTTACATAATAAATAAAATTGAATAGATACTAACACTGATGTCTGTGTAACACAGTATAGCACATAAGTAAGTATTCTGGAAATAATTAGAATTTAAAGGAAAATAATCTATAAAGTTTTATTTTAATGCACAAGCTCTCTTATTATTTGGACTTTCAAGTCCTATACTTTTTTAAGTTTCAAATTAAAAAATTCAGACTAACTTAAAGTAAAATTGCTCCAAATTTTAAAGTGTAAAAGACAGCATTTTAGCAGAAAAGCTAACAATTACTCTATTTAAGACGTCTGCTGTTGTATTCAGCTCGTCGGCAAAGATTTGCTTGCCGCTATTTCTTCACAAGAGCTTAGCCAGGGAGAGCCAAGGCATTAGCTAGGCTAATAGCGCTACATTCGATTCATTTTTGTGTTAAAAGCTATTATTTCATCTCATAAATAGCGAGTTCAGTTTCAGTCAATTTGTTTAACCTCAAGTCAATGTGTTAATAAATATTTTCAATTGCAATTATTTTGTGCTAATATAGAGCGTTACTTTTAAGTCAACATACCGGAAGCCACATTCCTATATCTCCTGTATGAAGCCATTTATCTTGATCGATAACTTCCTTAGTCTGCTCGGGTTTTTTAAAATATCCTTGAAAAGCACATTGAGCTCGAACACATACCTAGAGTAAACACCGAATGATTGATGTTAAGAAGTTGATAATTGACGAAACTTGAAACGGGAATAAACATTTTTTTGAAAATGTAATTCAAAATGTATCGCTTAAAGAATTATTATAGTTACCTCTCCTTGATTGTTACTTGCAAAGTATCCCATTTCTGCTACATCAAGAAGCTTAATTTCACAATCTGGCAGTGGAGGACCAACGTTCCCTGATCACCAATAAAGTGGGTTATAGTAAACGAGATTAGAATCATAGCAGCAAACGGGAGAACAATGTAACAATAACAGAAGAATAGAAAATATAAAATGGAAACAATGCATGGACATAAGATTTAAAAAATTAATTTAAGGAAATATAGATTTAAAGGTCATTACTAATTGAACAATCGTATCTTCATGGAAATAAGTCTTATTTTGTATTCCATCATGTTCACAAAATATATTCAAATACTGATAACTAACAGCCTTATTCATAATTTTGCAGACATTTAATGTAAAAAAGAAGTAAGCAGGAATTGCATGGGAAAAAGGGCAAATTTAAAAATCTACTATTCTAGATTCCAATCTCGATAGAAATAAATTACTATCACTTCCAGACCTTAAGACAGAAATACAGAGATTACATCGACTTGCAAAGCTTTTAATATGCAAACATTTCTTTTCACATCCCATATTAGACACTAGATGCAAACGTATTCGTGAGATACAGATTTTTTTCATATTCCATTGCGGAATTCAGAATCAAAATTATTCTCAAGATATGAAACGTTAAAATTATTTTTATATTAAAATGGTTATTTTTATATTACAATAAAATTATTTTCAATAAGTTTCATAAGGAATACGTATCTCATTTATTTAACATAAAAGAAATCGTTAAAGCGATAAGAGCGCTCATTTTTGATAATATTTAAAGATTTCAATAATATTTGCTAGTTAAATAAAATTCTTTGTTAACCAATTTACAGCTGAAAAATGTCGAAATATGAATTCAAAGAAGTTTATATATTTCTCTGTCTTTGCAAATTTTGGAAAAGTCATAACATCGTAGCCCCCCATCTCTTTTTTTTATTGAACTTCAACATATCGGTATTAGATCTTCTCTAGTTTCTATCTAATGTACAACCAACGCCATTTGCAATTTATGTTTTATTTGTTACAGAAAAAAGAATTTAAATTCAGTTTTTTTTTTTTTTTTTTTTTTTCATTTAATGGTTCACTTTATACAAAACACATAAAGCAAAAGATTTCATTCATAAAACTAATAATGTCTGCGTAAATGCAAAGTGTCTCTAATATTTTTTTTAGAAAATTAAATATGAAAATTGCACTAATTTCCTTTGAGATAAAAATAAAAAAACCGGATTTCGAGATACGAATCGAGAAAGAGAAAAAACAAAGTCAACAAGTCGAGGTGTCACTGTATTATAAAATGAAACGTTATTTTTTCAGGTTAAATGTTTAAAAATTAAATCTTAAATGCAATTATAATAAACACTATTAATTGAAATAAACAGTAAAACAGTCGCACTTTTATTCGAATTTTCGAAACGCAATGACTAATTAATTTTATTAACGATTATTATTACTTAAGAAGTTCTATGTATTTGTATGCAATTTGACACTAACCTTTATTTTTCAGTAAACTAATTATACGTTCCATAACTGTATTTTTAAAACAAAAGTAAAATTCTCTTCTTCTGGTTTGGATGGTATTTGAGTGTTTTTTTTTTTTTTTTTTTTTTTTTTTTTTTTTTTTTTTTTTGTGTGTGTGTACCCTTTTTCCTCTGAACCAACCAGCAGGGGAACGCTAGAAATGAAGCATTAGCACAGATTCTTTACACTCATAAACATTCGAACTTTACCTAAGCCTTTGAACGTTGTAGCGGCCTATGCTAAATGTGACTAAAATTTCTTTTCATCACTGTTTTGCTGAAATGGTCTTGAGACATTATTTGCAAAATGGATTGTGATGTGGCATTAAATTTTCAGTACGAATCTTACATTCTATTGGGTGAGTCTATAAATTCGTGCAAATTTTTTGGTAAATTTTTACATAAGATAAAAAACACAATTTAACATTTTAATTAATTATATATTTTCCTCCATTATCTACAATGTCTCGCCATCTTACAGGCAGCATTTTTTATGCCATTGCTGTAGAAAGACTCTGATTTTGATGCAAAAAAAACTTGAAAGTTCATTGTATATCCTGTTTAGAATGAAATATTTTCCCAGTAAAAACTTTTGTAAGGCACGAAATAAGTGAAAATCATTTGGCGCAATACCTGGTGAGTAAGCAGGATGTGGTAAAAGCTCCCAATTAAATCCACTAATTTTTTGCAGAGTTGTTCGAACCTTATGCGGTCTAGTGTTATCATGGGGAAACAACACTTTCTTGATATTCAGCAATCGTGGGCGTTCATTTGATCAATTCTGAGTTAAGAGGGCAAAGTTGTTCACTATAAAATTTTGAATTAATCGTTTGATTTGGTTCTAACAGTTCAAAACGTCCTGAAAACGGGGTTCATCATCAATGCTGCTTTCTCCAATAATTTTTAAACCATTTCTAGGCAGTCCTTACACTAATAGTGTGTTCACCATGTACACTATTAATTTTTATCGCGGCAAACCTGGAAGATTCTCCACACGAAAAATAAAAAATGTAGCACAGCACGTTTGTACTGATTATCTATATTCATCTTCTATGGGTACTACAAAATAAGCTTTCGATATTTACGAAAATTGGTAATGAGCTGAATAACATGTTAGTCAAACGATGACAAGTTTCAACAGGTTCAAAATTGTATTGTTTTAGTAAATGCGTCATAATGAATTCCACGCATACTCTTAATGAGCATGAACTTATGGACTGACCCTAAATAATTATTTTGGCTAAACTATAGTTCTTTACCTATAGTATAGTGTAATCTTACTATAGAAGTATACACTCTGATAGGGAGACGAAAATCAATTCAGAACATTGAAAAAAATGGCTGATCTGAGTTGGCAAATATACGAACATACTAATGTGAACTGATAGTGAATGGATATCCAATTCTGAAAAACAAATCCTAATATTGTTTAGCTGGCGTGGACATATTATCCACCCGCATCCCAATAATATCTATCAGAAAATTAGTGGAGAGAAACGGAATTGAAATTTTGTCAGATTTACATATAGACTTCAATATATTCACAAGCATGAATTTCAATGCACAGAAGATATAGAGGTCTTCTGAATAATCGTACATGTTTTGATGCAACAGAAGAGCACATACATGAATTGCTGAAACTTGAGTTCAACAAGCTTAATTAGTGAAAAATTAGCATCAAGATGAAACCGTTATGAATATGGACTGATTAGCTCGATCTCTCCATCGACATCCAACTAAGCCTGTGTGTAGTCTCTAGAGAAACATATTATTGACCACATTAGTAGTAGTTATCTGCAATTACGTAATTGAAGAGCGAAAAAAGCCTAATCTTTAAACCGCTTTTTTATTGTTTGTTAATAATCAAAGATCTATTGTCTGAAATTTATGCGTGAATCGCCTAATCAGTAATTTATTTTATCAGGACTTGTATTTTTTTAAATCTGTTTGGCAAACATAACATGTCCTGATTCGACAGTGGCTTTGACTGCAAACTATGTCTTGTGGAGTATAACAAGGATGACAGGATAAGAAGGGTTAAATTACCACTTATTTTCCACAATATTACAGGTGCTTTCGCACTCCGGGATACAAAGTCCAACCACTTGTGGTCTGAACATAAAAATATAAAAACTACTGACTAACTAGAATTCAAATAAAAGCTAACTTTGAATAATTTACACAAATTACTAACCCTAAGACTGGCCTTTCAAATTACACGTATGTAGTACGCAAACTGCGGAAAACTACAATACGTCTCTAGGTTTTTAGAGGACTAAACTCTCTGGCCTTAAAGGCAGACAGCAACTGATGGCAAGCTCGCGTGAAATACAGTGGCAAGGCGGCTCACTTTCTCTCCATCTAACTCTGTTCTTGGCGAAAAGCCACAACTTAAATACTTGGGGGTTAGCAAGTACAATTTGCATAAATAAGTTAACACGTTTATTTTGGCCGGAAGTAGAAAATAAGAGAGGACAGGACAGCTTTAAAATAAAACAAACGTTAGTAAAACTTAAGATCCTTACAATTTATACTCAGTTATTCTCATATTAATATAATATTTTATTTCATTGCAAATATTTAAATTTAACCACGTCTACTAAAAGGCTACATTTCGCTACAAAACACAGTAGCTCGTAAATGCACACCAAAGTGTTCAGCCGCGCTAGTGGCTGAGGGGTTAAGATTGCTGAATACTAACAGCTCGACATAGTTTGAAATAGCTTCTAGAGGCACGGACTGGCTGGTTGTTTTACATGATTTTGTGTAAAGTAAATATGAACCAATTTCCATCACAAAGTCATCCATGAAAGTACTCTTAGGCTGATAACACTTGCGATTTTTCCATATTTAAATAGCCTAATCTAACCAACTGATGCTTGAAGCTGAGCATGAGCTCGAATTATCATGAAAATAGCTGACGCTTAGACTCGAAAATGCACCGGTGGTTACAGTACTGTTCTGTATGTAAACCACTGTCACATTACAATCGCAAATTTCTCCGCACCTTTTAAAATCCGGTTTAAAGCAAAGCCAAATCAGTAAATAGGAGAGAGCAGCAGACTTAACAAAATGTAAAATTCTATACAGATTTGGAATATAATAATTAAAAAAAAATTTGATATGCTATTATTGGTAATCTAACATCAAAGTAAATATATAAATTGATAATTTAATGATTGAAATCAAAAATACGTATGTTGAAAATAGAAAATTCAAGTCAAATGAATGCAAAATAATGCATACACACCACACAGTTCAAGGCACAGCGAAAGAATTTATGAATGCTTTCAGATAGCGGAGCGCGCCAGCAGTAAGAACAAATCGGATTTAGTTTTTATTACAACAGTTTTTTTCTTCCAAATGCATTTGCTACGTTAGTCAAATTCTGTCCGTTAAATGCTTAGTCCTATGCTTCAAAAGAGCAAAATATTTCTAGCTAATGAACCGTACGCACAAAATATTATTGTAGACAGTTTATATCAGTACAAGAGATTATTGTACATTTTGAGGCATAGTGTATTTTGACACCTCATGTCTGACAAGTCTGACTATGTATTAATTTACGGTAAAAAATATTTCTTTCTCAAGGCATGTTTATGCCATTCTGAAAATGGAAATTTCACGTGTTTTCAGTAAGTGTCATCCAAACTCCTCATTCAGTTTCTTGTACCGTCATGGTTTTGCTGGTTTTTATTTAATTAGCTCCAGTCAGGCTTTTGTGTCTGCATATGTATAGGTATCAAAAACAAATCCGAAAAACTCAGTTTGTTTTGCCATCACAATTTTTATACGTAAAATTACGCTATGAAAAATTACTATTTTAATAAAAGTTTTGATATTATATTTTGTAAGACTTCCTCAATTGGGATTAAATTTTCAACTGATACCAAACTGCTAGATAAAAAATTTAGCATTATGTTCTACTACGTCATTTAACAGCAAAATATGAACGCGAAAACATTCGTTGCGGTATTACAGAACTACCACGACCGCTCTCACGAAAATTTCATTACAGAGAGATAACACAATATGATTACTTCCTATTTTACTCAAATGATTTGTTTTAAAAGAGAAACATACCGACAGTTTGATCTTCTGGTAACTGGCATGTACACGCGCCAGTTAGTTCGGTTTGACCGTAGCCTTGAACTACCTGAAAAGCAAAGCCAAATCAGTAAATAGGAGAGAGCAGCAGACTTAACAAAATGTAAAATTCTATACAGATTTGGAATATAATGATTAAAAAAAATTTGATATGCTATTATTGGTAATCTAACATCAAAGTAAATATATAAATTGATAATTTAATGATTGAAATCAAAAATACGTATGTTGAAAATAGAAAATTCAAGTCAAATGAATGCAAAATAATGCATACACACCACACAGTTCAAGGCACAGCGAAAGAATTTATGAATGCTTTCAGATAGCGGAGCGCCAGCAGTAAGAACAAATCGGATTCGGCCTCCCATGAGCTGTCGAACGCCTTTAAATATCAAGGAATCATCGAAAGTGCTGTCCCCATTTAAATGCCTGTAAACGACAATTGAATGAGAGAACATTTTATATCATTCTGCAACAAGTAATCAGACAATGCCATAAAATTAAATGAACTTAATCAGTTTCAGATTTCTATGATCAATGCTATTATTGTAATTAATTCTCTTGATTTAAACAGTCTAAGATGTGTTCTGCGGACTTTTCATGCCCAAGGAAGAAAGGACGCAGCTGAGTTAGGCCTAGGCCTTGGGCAACTTATATAAGACAGTATGAGTTTGTCTAGCTCCTTAGGAGTTTTGATGGAGAAGCCTCAGACGACAGCATTTTAAATGCCTACATACCACAAAGACGCCATACACGAATATAAACATCCACATCTTTTCCGGAATTAAAACCCTGGCCCAAATCATACGAACACGGCGGCATGGATAGTTCAAACAGTAGGATGATCAACTTTTGTCGTATATTTGAAATTCGATACTTTGAAACAAATCTATAATATCGCAAGATTGAACTGCTACCTAAGATCTTGAAATTCATGCAAAACTACCATTCTCGAACAACATGAGCGAGCTACAAGGAAAGTATGACAAATTCTTTCTCATTTGAGTTTTAAATAAATCAGATACATAAGAGGGAAGATACTTCTTGTAAATTTTAATTCCTGAAGAGGTTGGTACTGATGAGGAAAAAAGATGGCCGAATGATGTACGAAATGGTCATGCAACTGTAACTGTGTTATATAACCCTAATGCGCCACTGAAATGAGTGCGCAGATGAGTAACAGCGACGATGGCGAATGCATACGTGTAATGTTATAACGATTCTTCTTTTTTACATTCTCTTATTATTTTTAATTTATGTAAATAAATCATAGTTTAGTAGTAATTCGATTATTTTATGGCATTAGTGAAGTTTTCTCATATTTATTATTGGAAACGCAAAGAAAAAATCCACAAACCTAGTCCCATCAATGCAAAGAACTCAGTAAAGAGTTTATGATTGTCGCAGGATTCACTTATAATGGGAAATTAAAAAAAGAAGAGTGAAAAATAATTAAAATTAACTTAGTGTATTATTAAGAGAAAGTTTTACGTCCGATATTCTATATTCTAAGAAATTCTATTCTATTGTTTCAACCCAATGACTTTCAAGGAATGAAACTTCATCAAAACAAAACAATGAGTCATACTTAAAGAAGTACCACAGTATTCCTCGAAAGATGCAGGGATTGAATATACATCTTTTAAACGTATTCCTGCGAAGTCTCGTGGTGTTTCACCTACGGACTATGGTGAATCTGGTAGCTTGAAAAAAATTATTTCTAATCGCAAACCTACCACGATTGATGGACTCTGGAAAGTAGTGGAAGAGGAATGGAAATCAGTACTTCTGGAAATTTTGCGAAAGGCCTTTTTATCATGGAAATCACAAAGCAGTCTTATAGTCTGGGAAAACAGCTTTCAGATCGAATATTAACAAATATTCCTTACATTTTAAACATTAATTAAAATGCCCCAAAATCGTTCTAAAAATGTGTTAACACCCTCTGTAAAGTCATATTGCTGACAATGTAGATTTTAAATCAAAATTGATAAAGATAAATTTAGCATAATGAACGTAGTCATTCTTATATGTGTGGGATGTCGACTTCCATAACCGACAGATGGTTCTCCATGCTGTCTGATAGAACTTTGTTAGCGCAGACGAAATCGCCACGAGAACAGAAGAGACAGAAAACGTAAAGAAGATATGGACGCGCTCTAAAGATGAAAGAACTTTTTTTCTTTTTTATGACCGTTTTCTTGTAAGTATTTATATTCCTGTCATCCATTTTCGTAGTGTGTAAAAACTGTAGATATCTCCATTAAATATTCAATTTAAAATGTCAGTTGGACTAGTTTATTCAGCCCCTAGATATTAAGCCATTTATGAAGTAAGTTTATTAAGCCAATTATGAAGTAAGTTGTCTTCAGCCATTTATCAAGTAAGTTTTCAGATGTCAAGGCAAGAATAGTACATATATCGCCTATAGAGTGGGGGGGGAGGTTCGGCGGAGATTTGGAGGAATAATATCTATACAATGTAGGCTCTTGATATTATGGGATAATTGTAATGCGATAAGCCACTAATTTTCCATTCGGCAATAATGATCTGCTTATTGATCACTTTTCCTTTGTGACATGCTAACCAAGCATGTTATTTCTATGCTCTTACCTCTCATGTTCTTTGGACTTCTGTTAATGTTATTTAGTAACTGTGGCCATATATGAACGCTGCACAATTTTATTATTAACCATATATGACCAGGAGAGTTATTGTTAAAAATTTTTAAATATTTATTGCATTAATTAAAATAGTTTAAAAGGTTTCTTATAAATTTCATTTAATATTTGTAGTGATTAGTATGCAGAAAAGTAACAAGATAAAAAATATTGTAGTCTCTGAATATAAGACAAAGTTTCATTTTAATTAGTGCAGCAACACGGACTATGTGATCTAATCTTTTTGGGGGGCTTCCTGATCTATCTGATTATTAAATCAGATCTTGTCATCACTTAAAATTCGAAGGCTGCTAATAATGAAGAATTAAACCTTTCGATTTGAAATTTCATCCGTATCCATGAAACATCATTGCTTCTGATAAAAGGAAGGTGGATTCTGCACGAACATTAGTTATTTCTTTACACATCATGCCTACGTTGCAAGAAAACGCGCTACTGGTAAAATTGTTCTACCAGAACCAGAAGAACTCCTGTGTAGTTGTAAAATAATTTTGTCGTATGAAGTAGATACAAAGAGGTCCACTATTACTATGGGCCCTACGCAAAATGATTAAGAAATCTGAAACTGGGCAATTTCACATTCTTCCAGGTTGAGGATGAAAGCAAATCCATTCTTCAAATATTGAAAACGTGACTACCACGGTCTTGAAGCCAGTAATCAGTCGTCGCATGGTAGTGTGGCTGTGCCAGTTTTCTTTTTTCTGTGTATTGGATATGCCGTATTCCAATTTAGAAAAATCCTCCGGTGGATTTTGGAATTTTAGCCTTTCAAAATCAAACCTTTGTGCCTATTGCAGCACGGGGACTAAGAGGCTCGTAACACTGTTGCACTTCAGTCCCTTGCTTCAGTTTTAATTGATGTTATTGGCTTTAGAATATACTGTGGACTGACGAAGCCCACTTTTGCCTCAAGGGGCAAGTTAACATCCACAACTCTCGAATTTGGGCTGCGGAAAACCCTCAGGCTATCCAAGAAAAACTCTTTCATCCTGAAAAAGTGACAGCATGATGTGGGTTTTAGCTTTGGACCGTACTTTTTTAAAGAGATAAGTGCAAATGCAACCCAAACCTGTTCCTTAACAGGACAACGGTATTGTGATATGCTGAGGGATTTTGTAATCCCACAACCTTAACTGCGTGGATGCCTTCAGGACGTCATTTTCATGTAGGATGGATCCCTTCCTCACATTGATCGTCGGAAAAGCAATTGTTAAGACAGCATTTCACTGATGAACGGGTGATCAGCCAACATTTTCCAACAGCATGACCTCTTCGTTCGCCGAATACCACCCCCTGCAACTTTTGAATGCGTGATTTCCTAAAGGACAAATCTACGTGAACGCCAACTATGGTCAATAGAAGGCAGTTCGCGTCTGTCTTCTTTCCGTCAGACCGCTCGTCGCTGCGAAAATATGGTTTGGATTAGAACATGTTGCCCGAAGGGCATATGGAACTTAGAGTGCTATTTTTTATTTATTCCCTTTATCCCGCATATAAATGTTTTTCGTGTATTTACCCCCCTGGAGGATTTCGTACTAAACAATTTTATTTATTAAATGTCAAGCGCATCGGTTAAATTATTTGTAGTTCAAATTTTATTTGATTTGGACCAACCGAACAAATTCTAGAGCCTCCTGAATTGGGAAATTTATTTCTTACTAATTTTGTAAGAGTTTATACATAAAGGAAAGAGTTAAAATTTCTAATGCTTTTTAGTATTGATGGTTTTACTATAGCATTAGGACAGTAGCTGTCAATGATGAACGTACATCTGCTTCTGTAGTCCATCCATTCTGCAAATCGACGGGTGAGCTCAATACCGTTTTCCAACCATCCCTAGAAAACACAATTAGGTAGAGTTTTTTCTAATGGGGCACCAATTATGAGAAGAATCCGTTAGACGAACTTTTAAAATCTTTTTTGGAAGGATGTCGGAAACATCTGGCCAAACAATGTTTCAAAAGACTGTTAATTTCGAAAACCAAAAGTCTTCTGATCTCCTACTTATCCTAGAAATAAAATTAGTTTTTGCATTTTTAAAACTTAACTTCTTAAATTCTACAGTCCAGTTTTTTCCTATATTCAATAAGTTGTTCAATTCTATATAATACGTACTACTTATAACTAAAGTCACTAACTACTTAGGCTGACGTCCATACCTCGGATTCGGAGACTCTGGAGTAGCCTTGTGTGAGAGACTAGAGCAGTGACGTCAACAACAGCAAACTGTAGCCTGAATATCCCCAACGGAGTGATGCCTTGAAAGACTTTTCCGAGAAATTTGATTCTTGTTGCCACACGAGGAAAACGTGACAACCTCCAACTGTTTGCCAAAATTCAAAACCATTTGAACTACCAGTGTTAGTATCCACGGCTATGTGGATATTTCCGGTTTCTTTTTTTGTTCCGCAGTTCGATAAACAAAGCGAACTGAGCTCAGTGTACGATTGATACAGTTTTCAGTTGTTAAAAAGTAGTGTGTAGTACAGTATTTAGTTTATTCGCTATGATCTCAAGGCTGTGTATAGAAGCTTATGTACGATGAACGTTAATGTACAGTACTGCTCTTGCATTGCCATTTGTCTGAGGTGACTATTAGACGTATTAGACCATATTACACTGCTGCAGCTTTCCTTAGAGGCCGTAGGAGTCTTTTTTTTCCCGCTGCCCCTATTTTTACTTATTCGATTCCTTTAGCGAAGTAGAAAAGTTCTATCCTTGTAAACTTTTTTCCTTTGCTACTCACATTCTGCTTATGAGTATATAAATCAAGGTCGCGACAGAAATTTGCATTTAATTGGAGCTTTGAATTCTGATTATCCCATTTAAAGTAATAAAAATCGATTTTTGAATATACAGTAACAAGTTATAAGTTATTTTCCCGTTTCCTGGGCTTTCGTGGTTTTGTAGTGGTTTTTGGCAGCTGAGCCGCTTCCAAAGTCCTGAGTGATTCCGGCGGGCGATTGCTATTTTCATCTTGCCTGCTTCCAAAAATACAGACATGCATACAAAGTACATAAAAAATGCGTAGTGGACATTAGTGTATTATAAAATTTAATGTTACCGTAAATGCCATGAACAAGATTAATATGAGAAACATGTCACCGCGTCCGTATTTAATTCAATAGGATTTTATGAAGTCTTTTTTTCAGTTAGTCTTTTCAGATCAAAATTTATGTTTAAAAACAAACAGATTGACCAAATAATTTTTCGAAACATTCAGAGAATTTGCTATCTCGTTTTCAATAGGGTCTACATTTTATGTTTCCTAAAGAACACGACATTACACGATCATGTCAAGAAACCTTGATGCATTATTGGTTTTGTAGCTCGAGTTGTTCCGAACATGTTGAAATTTTTTTCAAAGATAACAACGTGCTTAAATAGCCCAAAAAAGTCTTTCTTACCAAACTCTTTTTCTCTCCATTTTAGAGCTCGAAATTGGATATGCGCTTTCAACACAAAAGCCGGTCGACAGTTAAACAAATTACACCGGAAAGGTGAAACAAGACTGAAAATGTCATGTGAAATGAGATCAAATTAAGGTATCGTTGGTTGCTGTCTTCGTCTGTTATTAGCTTATACCAACTGACCAAACGGTACATTACTATAAATATATACACTGACCTACATACTACACATAAATAATTCTCTGTATGAAACATTTTATTTGAATGCATTGCAGCGTTTGTATAGAGATATTTACAAATATTCTCTATGTTTTGACAACATAATGTTCGGATTTTGTCCCACATTAATGCACCTGCTCACAAGGGTAACTTCTGCCACATTGCCAAATATATCAATTTGCAAACTCCAAATATGAATCCGCAATCATATAACAAATCTGCAAACTCCGTATTCACCTAATATGTTAGCGTGTTACATATTTCGTAGTTCCGAGGTGGTTAAAACTATTTCTTCACGGTCACCCTTTTGAATTTGTTAACGACGTGAAAGCTTCACTGCAAAAACAACTTTCGAGGATTAGAAAAACTTCGTCTTAACCCTTTGTGACACGCATATTTAAAATATATTTTAATCTTTAAAAAAATGCCTTAGAATAAGGCAGACGGACTTACTTAAGTGCCTTTAAGGCTTGAAAAAAAATTCTGCACTTTTATTTTTACGGTGGAAGGTGGGATAAGTTTGTCCCACCATGCAACTAGCACATGTTTATAGCATTTTGGTGTTAGCAGGAAAAAAAAAATCATATGTGGATGAAATAAACAAAATAAAGGTGCATTCTAAAATATTCATAATAAAACAACTAAAATGCATTTTGTACTTATTGCATATATGCATGACTTGTAAAATTTGCATATGCATATTTTGCATTAATATTTTTAAATTTTAGGAACAAAAGAAAATATTTTCTTGAATATTATTTTAAGATTAAATTTGTTACTCGTGACATATGATACTAAATAAATATTAAATTGGCACTTGATTTCAAAAACATTTTATATGATTAAATTTGAAAAAAGTCATTTTCATGAAACTTTGAAAAACATGTTGTTTCTTCTTTGTAAGCATAGAGGCACTTCACATGTTTCACACATCCAAATGTTCATCGTTCTTCTTTCGATATGCTGCAATATGCACATCTTCTCCTGCTCGTTCTCTTTGGCGTTTTACTTACATTTTTTAGTCTCTTTTGGTTGTACAAACGGTTTTATTATTTGAAAGGGGATTTTCAGTTTCTTTTCAGCTCTTTCTTGCCGCAAGTGCCATTTAGACCTCTATAAACTGAGAGAAGAAATCTTTCATTGTTTTTACATCATGATCAGGTTCGTGAAACAAACTTGAATAAACGTGTTTACTATACTAGCATTCTAAAAGTAAAAAAAAAAAAAAATCAATGTCCACCATTCTGCTTTTGCGGTCTATTTCATATAGTCCGTTTCTGTTGATCAATCAGTCGACATATCCCATATTCTTATTGTATGAAATAATGCTGTTTGGGCACAGTACTTTTTTTTTGTCTTCCATCTCGTTCTTTTTTTAATTTTCTTTCATTTCAGTTGCCTTTTCCAAGCAAGACGGGATAGAAACGGATCTTTTCTTCTTTCATTTTATGCAATAAATTGAATCATCGTTAACTGAAATTAATATTCTATTGACATAAATTTGTCTTTTAAATTTTTGGGTAGATACATCCGATCCATATTTACAGTGCACATGCATAGATGGGTCTGTGTCTTAAAAGCAAAATAAATTATAAACTACTTCCCTTTTCTTCAGCAATAACTTCAACATCAGCTATTCTCTCTTTAATTTAAATTTCAGAACTGACATCTGAAGCATTTGAGTCGCAATCGGATGGCAATTCAGCAAAATTGGATCCATTTAACTTACTAACTATGGATTCACTCTTATTAGAACATCAGAGCATTACAACGGATGTAAAAGGCGCGCGCAATCACGAAAAAAAATAGATGCAAAAAGAGCAAAAAGAAAAAAAAATAATCGCGGGTGCTGCCATCTATTGAGCGGAAAATTCAAGTGTGTGGTGGGACAAATTTTAACCCACTTATTTCAACTGCAAAATTAATGTTATAAAATATTGAATCCAATTAAGATTTTTGAAAATAAAATACCTTTGAATATTAAAAAGAATCATACATATCAAAATTGTAAACCAAAACTTTTAAAATATTGAAAAATGCGAGATACATGGATATCACTTTTGATCCTATTGAATATTTTTTGCTCATAAACTTAAGCCCTAGTATAGTAGTACATCTACTGAGAAAAAATAATAACTAAATAGATTATTTAAAAAGATTAGAAAATTTTCTAACGGAAATTGCTAACTGAGAAAAAATAAATATTAATTAGGTGGGACATATATTGACCCACCATGCCGCAAAGGGTTAACGCAAAGTGCACTGTATATGAGACTGTTCTTACACTGTTTGTATAACAACTATGGCTTTGCAAGAGTTCTTACCCTACCATACAGAAGTACAGCAAGAAATACCAGTTTTCTTTTAGATTGTAAGGATCTTAGGTTCTACTAATGTTTATTTTATTTTAAACCTTTACTATCATCTCTTATTTTCCACTTCCGGCCAGAATAAACGCGTGAATATGTTTATGCAATTGTACTGCTAACGCTAAATATTTTGTGGCTTTTTGCCAAGAGCAAAGTTAGATTAGGAGAGAGTGAGTCCTTTTGCCACTATACGTCACGCGAGCTTGCAGTCAGTTGCTGTCCGCCTTTAAGGCCAAAGGTCCTCTTGAAAGCTAAAGACGTATTGTAGTTTTCGCAGTTTGAGTACTACACACATAATAATTTAAAAGTCTTAGTGTTAGTCATTTGTGTAAAGTTTTCAAAGTTAACTCTTATTTTTAGTTAGTTAGTAGTTCGCACATTTTTAGTACGTTTAGACCACAAGTGGTTGGTCTTTGGATCTCGAAGTGCGGGAGCGCCTATAATATCGTGGAAAATAAAGGGTAATTAAACCCTTCTGATCTTGTGGTCCCTTCTACACTCCATAGGATATAGTTTGTAGTCAAACTCACTGTCTAGTCAGGACATGTCATGTTTGCCAAACAGATTAGGAGAAATACAAGTCCTGATAAGATGAGATTAGAAAACGGAATACATTTGGACATGCTTATTTCAAACTCGATACCACTATACAACTTTTAAAATAATATTTGTGTTTTAAAATAATATTTATGTATGTGTATTATTTATATTTATTTCTTTTACAAAGTTACAGGTCATAAAAGAACATTCTGATAACTTACTCATTCAAAAATAATTTTTTGTTGACAATTTTATTGACAAAAAATAAGAACCAAAAAATATAAATAAAACATAGCGATGCTATACTCAGCATGTAGAAAATGTCTTTAAAAGAATTTTATTAATTAGAATTTGGCTGAAAATATTCATAAAAACTATTGGCTGTGTATATAAATTAGATATATTTAAGAGTATATGAATAACATAGATTATGAAAATAAAAAATAGTGTTGAAATATGATTAATAACTGCGAAAATTTTCAATCTTCCACCCTTTTCTCTATTAGCTAAGTGTTTAGGAATCTAGTAAACTACTAAGTGAATAATCGGTTAAGTCCGAGAATAGAAACGTAAACTCAAGAAGCATTAATTACCATTTTTGCTCCAAATAAAGATTCACAGATGGCCCTTTTCTCAGAACGTACAACAAAGTAAACTTAAAATTGTAAGGAATAAGAACTTAACTAATGACTAACTAAAGAGATTTAGCCGAAGCTAACACTACAACTGGCCCATAATATTAAATTAGCTAGTGAAGCTATAAAGGGCACGGCTGAGCGTATAGTAACAGCTTAGACAAACGTCGCCAAAAGGCAAACGCGCGCTATTAGGGAATCCCAATTATTTCTCTCGAAAGTCAGTGGAATTTAAATACTACTCTGCTTCTCATTTGCATTCAACGCGATTCCAAAACCTCATTCCGGTAAGGAATTGCATGCTGAAACTGAAAGAGACAGGAGAGTCGTATAAATTCATATTATAAAATCAGGATATAAATATCATGTCATCATCAGTATATAATATTCGTATCATGGATTCATATCTTGTCATCATCAGGATATAATGTTCGTATCATGTTATAAAATTAGGATATACCTTACAAATTAATTAAATGTATTTTAATTTAAAGCTATTAGGTATTTTTAAAAAATAAAATCAAATGATTTATTAAAAGTAACATTTTACTGCGATTAAAACCGCCTAGTTTGTTAAAGAATAACAAATAGTTTTAATTTGAAATATAAATAAAATAGTTTATGCTTTCCGAATGATAAGACGAATGATAAAACTATTTGGCTATTTATGTCGTTGTGTGGATGACAGATGAAAAACTTAATGCTCTAAGTATTGGCAACAGTTTTCAAACAAATGTCCATGCACGTGGAATAACATAACATAAATGTTATCACTAAAGGTCAGAAGAATTTAATTTAGTCTGCTTGATCAAGATGTCTTTTCAGTTTATTTCTAATTATAATATAAGGTCTCCGGTTAGTAGTATAAGAATTGAAATTTCTTTTGACAGTGTAACATTCCAAAATAATGGTTGTTAGTTGAAATTTGCTAAAACCTGGTGCTAATATGTTGACTCAAGCTAATAAGTTCATGAACCCCTGTACATCAAAGACAGTTTCTCACTGGTATGATGTAGCAAAATAGTTTTACAACACTATAGTGATGTAAGAGATTCCAGACTTTAATATACCATTCAAGGATTTTCGAAGAGTATGCATGAAATATGTAGCAAAATTATGAATATGAAATTAAACATAAAATTGAAACAAAAAGAGATTTGCATATGCTAAACCAATTTATAGAGACATTAGGTATTTTTGAAGCAGAAGACATGGAAAATGTGCGATGTGATTGGACATCTCAAATACGCGCCGAGTGTGCTAACCATTACACCATGAACGCATGTTGGAAGGAGGGAGAAAATACCTTATAAATTCATCACTATTTTTTTGCAGAACCATTAATGACTTTTGTAGGAGCATTAGTGTTCTAGTGAATCCCACCGCCGGAAGCATATTTCACAAGTGCACATCTGTATACCTACCGAGGGAGTGGCTTCTAGGATGGACCAATGGGCATCCATTAATATTACTGTCGTGTCACATGACCTTTTGCTGGCTTTAAGATTTAAGCAAGATAGTTGAAAATATTTTACCACCCAATTCTCTGTACAAAATAATTAAAGCATCGTCGATTTCTTTCGAAAATTTTCATTGTGAAGTTAGATCAAATATAAGCAATTGTGAAGATTTCATTACCTGGTTGAAAGAATTTGAAATAAATATAAACACATGTTGGATTAAGGTACAATAACACGCCGAACAAGTACTAATTTAGAAGTCAAACATAAAAAATCAGCGTTATATTTTCAAATTTTCGCAGGACTAGTTTGGATAGTTTTACCGAACCATCATTCTCAGCCACAAAAACGCAAATAAACGAGATAAGATAAGAAAGACTGAGCCGAAGTCAAGCTACTGGCGCCATCTGTTGATGAAACTAGAATTAAAACATAATTTCTTTAAAGGCTGAAGGCAAAGATGGATTGGAATTAGGGTCATTAACTAGAACAGAAAGATTTTTTTATTGTGAAATACCTCTAGAAAATCCAGTTCACCAATGGAAGATGTTTTTTGAATCCATGTTGGATACTACTAAAAAATATTCATGTGAAATATTGCTTAATAAGTGGTAAATAAGATGAAGAACGAAATATGTGATAAACATCTGAGCCCAAATGCTAGCTTTACATAAAACTATGGATATGAAAAAAATATTTACACCAATTATATATGTAAATAGAAATCAGAACTTTTTATTGCAGTCTATAGGAAAAAGATGTTCTATAATAATAGCCAATGCAGAATTTTATTCAAAGTGAACTTTACTAATCTGCCTTCGTTTATATTTAGTGTGTTAAATTTCACATTTAATAACTGCTCACTCTTAAATGTACTGTCTACACAAGAAATACTCATCAAACAGAATGAATTTATCTTATTCATAACGAATATATTCAGTTTATTCACATGTAACGTTTAATGTTAATAATGGATATAATCAGATCGTACACAATATATATTCTGAATCTTACACTTTCAAAATCAAAAGAATGCAAGCATTGAAAGAAGAAAAACACTAGATTCATTGGAACACTTCCAGTCCTTCTCAGCTCAATTAAAAAAAAACTATACACTTGAATTCTCTTAATCCACAGGTGTTAGTAAATGCATAATATTCGAGGCAAATTGTAGCTTGAGTCATCTTCTCGATGTAAAGAGCGATAATATGCCATGAACATCAATCCAAATATCAATGCGTGATAAAAATTACGAAAGTGAAATGTCAACTATTAATTAAACTCATAAAAAGAAAGCACTACAAGATTTTCTACTATTACACCATACAATTATAGCTGCGAAACAAATGAAAATTAAAACATAAAGAACATACGCTCATATGCACGAAGATTTAGCGTCACAAGAGCAATAGAAATTCATTGGTCCATTTTTCGGAACCCCTCTCTCAGTGGCTGCGCTGGTGTGCACTTGTGAAATATGTATATGAAAAGCATTTTTATCTCCAGAGAGCGAGACTATCCATCAGAAACTCTAAAGATATACTGTTTTAAAAATATTTTGTAATATTGCTGTTGAATTAAATTTTATGTAGTTTAAGTGCAAAGAACATGATATTTAATACTCGTAAATAAAGGCAACCCACAAAACGTTAAAAACATGCCCTTTGGGCGTAATATAAAATCTGAAAGCTTTAGGAATTTTTTTTTAATTTTATTTTTCATCTTTTTTTTAACTTTTTGAAACTTTAATGATAAATTCTTCAAGATATTCGAGTGTAACCCAAAGTTTTCAAATTGTAATTTTTCGAGGATAGTAAGAAGGATAAAAAAAGGTAGCATGTTATTTTAATATAATTTATTTAAGTCAGAGAAGAAAAAAAGAGAAATGAAATTTTTGACTTCAGCTGCGTTTAAAAACATCCATATCTCTAATATACATTTCAAAAAAGCCAATCTTTTTAAAATTATACATTATGCAGGTATGAATTACTTTCCTGTATTTATTAATTTTTTAACATTTCTGAATGTTGCTTGTTTAACTCAGTATCTTTCGATTAGTATACGACGATCGGTTCTTAAAATATTGTAAGTAACTTAAATTTGGATTCTTAATTTAACAGCTTTGAATATTGATGAACATATAGCGGGAGTCATGTTTCTGCAGATTACTCAGATGTTATAAAATATATTTTTTATTACTTTTGAACAATTAAAAAAATGAATGCTCAGTTAATTTAAATTTCTTAATTTAAAATCCTTATACTTACTTTAAAATTATCTAAAAAATTATTTTTGACTTTACAATTATCTTAAAAATATGAAAAAAATGCATTCATACTTTCTCATGTATCTTGTTCAGAAGCCGAGGGACTATTACCAGAAATGTTGGCTTCAAAGTTTTCAAATCATCAAATAAGAGACTAATATCACCGCTGTAGAAACCAATTCGGCCTCCATTTATCAATACAAGTAGCTGCGTTTAAAAGAAAGATTTACTCACATTAACAAAATAAGATAATGTAAGATTATGTATGCTATAAGTAAAAAAAAAAAAAAATTATGCATTTGATAAGTAAAACAATAAGAAAACTTAAGATTCAAAAACTTGCAGTACTAAATAAAGGAGAATGAGGATTCAACTAGTAATGTATTACAGCAAACATACAAAAATATAAGATTGGAATAATTATATAGTAGATTCTCAATTATCTGAGGTAATTGAAAGTGTAACCACCTTGGATGATCCAAAATTTGGTTAGCATATAAGGTATTTCTCCCACCTTCTTAGCTTGCCTTCGTGGTATAGAGGTCTGCCTGCTGGGCGCATATTCCAGAGGTCTGAGGTTCGATTCCCGGCGAAGGCATTGCTCATATTTCATTTTTCCTGCTTTCAAATTACCTAATGTCTTTAAAAACCAGAGATTAAATTTTAAATCATGACAGTTTTTCTTTCGTGATTCCTGTGATTCCTCCGAAGTTGTCTGTTTGAAATTCTAAACATAAAGTACCCAAGTACTATTATTAACTTTTGGCAAACTTTTTAGTAAAAAAAATTTGTTTCCTGCAGATAAGTAAATAATGTACTCAAGATTTTATTTCATTACAAAAACACTAATGAAAAAAACTCCATCAAAAATTGAGAAAACTGTGAAAGTTAATCCATTTCTTATAAACATTTTATCAAAAATTATTATTTATTTATTTATCTAATATTGGAAAATATGTTACACTTTTTTTTGTTTGTTTGTTTTTCTTTCAGCTAAAACTACACAACCTTCTGACAAAGTTCGGTATCAAATAGTTAAAAAATCTAAATAATAAAGAATATTCTTTAAGGATTCAGTATGGCTAATTTTTACATTATCTGGTTCAGTTTCATCGTCATCCTCAGAATCACTCCCATCATCACTCTCTCGGATCTGCGGCGTGGAAGATTCAAACCTGAAAGGGGAATCATTCAATTTCTCCAGACCGAAATGTCCTTTTGAGCAATATTTTTTGTCCTTTGTCTTTGTAAACTGCCTTCAAATTCATTGTGTTTAGTCAGTATTATGACTGCATATATTGCTTTCGTTGATAATGTATGTAAACCATATCTTTTATCGTGATGCATAAGAATATGGCTACTATATGACCCACTACTTTTAGAGTTTTCGTTGTACACTTTCAAGTGTAAATAAAGGTAAATAAAGATCGGTTAATCGGTAAGTAAAGATCTTGATGTCCGCTAGCTCATTTACTTTAATTCTACATGTCCAGGAACCCAGCAGTAACGAATCTGGTATTCGGTGCTTCTTAAGATTAGATTTAACTAATAATTTCACAGTTCTGAGTATTTAAAAGAGCTTTTAGAGCTTACAGCACACTAAGCATGACAGTGAAAACATACTCCAGCACAGATTAGATAAAAAAAGAGCACCATACCCAGCATTTAATTCTTCAGTGAGTACAGAGCAATCTTTACGCAAAGGTCTACCTTCTATATGATTTCCAATCACGAAAAATGCTCCAATATGATGGTTCCTTTTAACCCGACGAAATGCCGGGCTTCATCAGTCTTTAATCGCTTGGCCTCTGATGGAGCAACATAAATGCTGAAGAGAATTGCCTTAGACCGAGAAAAATGATTTGCTATTTAAATAGCTTTTATACTACAATCAGCAAAAGAAGATTGTTATCTGAACATGTAGTACTCATTCAGTATAAACTCATTCAGACATTTTCCTTATGAAATAAAACGTCAAGAAATATAATGGTCAAACTAGTTTTGTTTGACTTGCAACATTACAATATAAACTGATATAATTCGGGGATCATTGAATATGCCTTAACTTCAAAATAGTTCTGTCTTTCTGAATTATTGTTCTTTTGCAGTACCATATTCATTCCCGTTAGATGAAACGTAAACGATATTTTCCACAGAAGACACTTCTGTATTCTGAATAAAATGTCGTAGAGTCATTAGGTCATTGCCGGAACATGAAACATGTACAATGCCCTCACCGGAATTCGAATTCCGGACCTCCCGAATACGAGTCAAGTCTGCTTTCAATTACACCACGAAAGCATGCGGAAAGGAGGGAGAAAATGCCCATGTGTGCTCGTTAGAACTGCAAGGTGATAAACTTTTGAACAAGGACACTTTCCTTTATATTTGCTGTACGTAAAAGGATAAAACTTAGTCAACAAAAGAGAAATTAATAAGAGAATTTGTATCTAAAAAACACAAAAATAAATACTCACATCATTTCCGGCTACCAACCATTTTGATTCATCCATGCCTTAAGGCAAAGATAAGATCATTTAAGATAAAGCCGTTTTATTATGATAAATTAGTAGTTTGGATTGATACGGAGATTATTTTGTTTTCATATTTCATCATTTTAGAAAAAAAGACAATTTGGGAAAAATAATTGAATTCCTCACCGCACAGGCAATGGAAAAACTTAAACTTACCTGTCAGGTAAATTGCATCGATAATCTTTTTGTTAAAACTACAAAAAAATACACTCAACCCTCTTATAGAGACCACCTCCTAAGAATACCTTCAAAGTAGTTTTGAAAACTTTAATAAGAATGAAAATCGCCTCCCTAAGACCACAATTTCTACATAAGATTCCAACCGTCTAGAAGCTCTTATGATCGTTCTATAGAGGATTAATTGTAATTTTTCAGAAAAGTACTGAGTTCTCTGAAATAAATTTATGCTTATTTCCACTCATGTTAAAAATAAATACAAAAGGTAACTTCAATAATTTATTTGAAATAAAACACATTTTACCTGTGCTTGTCTCTCCATAAGATGGGCAAGGGGTAAAAATGACAAATAAACATCTTCCTTGTGAGGAGCTGAACTTCCCTTGAGGGAGAAAAAAGATCATAAACTAACTGAAATTTAAAAACAAGTTACACAGAGATCTGTGTAACTTAAAAATATAATTATTATATTTAAAATAATTATAAGTAATAGTTATAATTTAAAAAGTTGAGCGATTTTAAAATACTTTATCTCTGAAGTTTACGAACGGAAGTGAAAAATATTAAATAAAATGGAAGAAAACTGGAATCGGTTTATTAAGAAGTGACTCTCAACGCAAAATATGCCAAGATGACCATCAATTCGGTGTCACGTTTGTCTCAAACGTAACTTCTGATAATTTTTCAACAATTGTGTTTTATGTAGACAAAGGAGAATTGTACTTCCAGATGATAATATTGCAATGTGTCAAATCTATTGACCCAGTCGGTCAGCTGTGAAACAAAGAAACATTGGGTTCATTATCACTATTCTATCGCAAAGTAGCTTCGTAAAAAAAAAAAAAAAAAAAAAAAAAAAAAAAAAACTCTACATTTGAGTAACATTATAAAATTAGGAATTTTTTTGTCATTTAACGTTTAACGCAGAGGTATGCTTTGCATTAATGTTCTTCACTTTAACGAAGGATTTAACAGATTTTCAAGCTAATCATAATTATAGAAATACATAGAAAGTGTGCTCTTTTTTAAGAAAATAAATTTAATAGGATTTTTAGTTTCAACGACAAATGCTGAAAAATTAAAGTGTTGCTCAGCATTTGTTTTATGCAGTGATTGCCGAAAATTATAACTTAAGAACATTTACATATTACATATTAACATTGTGAAGAAGCATATGATTGTAAAGAAGTTTTAGTGGATGGTTTCATTGCCTGCGAATAATGTCTCAGTCTAATGCGTCATCCATACTCTTATGCTTCATTTTGCGGTCCTTCGCTGTTGGTAATAAAGCCATCTATCATACTGCTGGACCCAGGTCATAAATCTGGCAAAAGTATGAATGTTTGTAGTTATCTGTCAACCTCATCTTGCGTGTGTAATATCAGTCAGTTTCTGTGATGCATTCACCCTAAACAACTTTCTCAGCGATGAGGTGACTAAGCGGCTACCTTCGGCCATTCCTGACGAATTCTCAATTTGTTAATGGCCTTGTGTTTGAAAATGTATTCGCTTTCACGTCAGCTTATCAGACCGCAAACCTCGGTTTCCATACTAAGATAGACAGATGTGATGATCTTACACCATCGACAGGGAAATTGATCCACGGATGGCTTATCAGTCAAATAAGTCCTGTTATCGATCAAGGTCAAAGCCATTAAGTAAGTTATAGGTACAAATTATTAAATAACCTGGACCTATAAGTATGACAGTACACCTATGAGTATGACAGTTACTGTACTGTCATGGCTTTCATGGCTTTGACTATGGTCAAAGCCATTAAATAAGTCATAGGTTGAATCAAGGTTAGGACCTGTGCCTTCCCGAAGGTATATTGCGGGCCTTCTTTTTAATCACCTTCCCTATTTTGACCATGGAGGTAAGAAAGGAAGGAGGGGCCAACCCCGCACTAAGAGTGCAGCACTGCTCCGAGGCTTCGGTCTCCATATGGGTTGTTTTCTGTTCACATTCAGAAGCTCCCTTGGCAGCGCTCTGATATTATTTGACACACGAGAGTTCCATACAAATCGAAAAACGGGACACTTCCGCATTAAAAAAAAAAAAAAAAAAAAAAAAAAAAAAAAAAAAAAAAAAAAAAAAACATTTATTGTGTGATGGATGATAGCAACTTGTATAATTTAGTGACATTTACGCAAAACCTTTTACACCCGCAAAAATCACATCATGGTTATTTTTCGATAACTAACAACACCGATTTTGATTATGAATTTGTTTTATAAAATTCTAAGTTGTTGAACTACAAAAATATAGATTTTAGCAAAAATGTTATACTTAAAGAAGGAAAAATACCTTACAAATTGTATACGTCTTTCGATACCCTTGATAGAGAGTTCGCTACTTTTATTTTATGTTTCAAACGCTAGTGAAAGAATTAAAAATTTGCACATGCGGAAAACGAAAAATATGAAATATGTATGGGTATTTATTATTATTACGCATTATTAACAAAATACGTAAATATTTATTAAATTATTTTTTAATGTATCTGAAATGAAGGATTTATTCATTCATAAACTCCTGTGAAAGTTACTGTGAAGAAATCTAATTATGAAATGTATCTAAATTTAAAATTATTATAAATATTATCTAAATAGATAATAACCTGAGCATTCAGTTACAAACATAAATTGAAATCCTGTTGGCAAATACGCTTATAAAACTCTTTAAGGAAGAATTGTTCGTACTGGAAAGCAATCTGTTAAAAGGTTTTGTAAAGCAAATTCTATCAGATGCGTACTTAAGGTAATTTTAGTAATGAAGAAGATTTTTTGAATATGTATTCTTGAAATTAAGGGTAAAAAAATCTGATAAGTATAATTAAAAGAATTATTCCCTTACATTTTATAATAACTCAGCTACAAGTTTTAAATAATGTTAAAAAAATCCTTTTTTTCATTCCCTTTCAGAAATATTCAGAGAAAATTAAGTACATGGAAATTTCAAAAATTCTGATTAGTGGCTTGATCGTGAAACAAAAAGCCAAAAAATATAACAAAAGATTAAATATTTTAGGTTTCGAAACTAGCAATAGTTAGCTTTCAAACTGGAAAGACAGGCACCAAATCCATTAAAAAATCTTTAACGACGAATCCAAAGACTCTCACATAGGAGTTGCGATTATATAAGTTAATGATGTATTGTTTACGTTGCTTCACTATATCATGCCAGTATTTTTAAAATTTTAACAAAACGACCATTTGTTAAAGGACAAAGTCAGACGAAACTTAAATGTTCGAAGAGAGAAACGTTTCTGGTGGAAATATTCCAAATGACAGGCTTATGTATTTTAAACTACACTAACTAAAGTTTTAAACTACTCTTTCTGGTTAGTACGTTAGAAGTTCCTCAATTTATCAGAATAAAATCATTATTTTGAGCGCTACGGTAAAGAATGGTGAAATTATAAGGTATTTTTCCCTCCTTCCATCCTGCCTTCTTGGTGTAACGGTTAACACACTCGCCGCGTATTCGAAAGGTCCAGGTTCGAGTCCCAGCGAGAGCATTGTACATGTTTCCTGTTTCAATATAAACCTAATGATTGTACAAAATTACTTTAAAATTCTTAACAGAAAGACATAGTATTTATTGTTTATTACTATTGCCTTATTAAATTTCCGATTTGATTCTTGTTGGACAAAGACTTGAGTTCACTTTGGAAATCATGTAAGTACTCATTCACCCATGTTATATAACAAATATGGAACACTACTTAATTTTCAGGTTACTTCAGACGTATTTATTGAATATGTTTCTTTATTTTAGGTCTTAAAGAGAAAAAAATAACCAAATTAGAATGAAACTTTAGGGCGGCAAATAAAAATAAAAATAAAAATTTTATCTTTCAAATTTCTAATTTTAAGTATTCTTAAAAAACAAAACACTTACATATTTTAACTCTAATTTATAAAATACCTAAAGTATTCTTTTTAGTTTGGTTCTTACCCTTTCCCTCTCATAAATAGTAAAATACTGTAGGGTTTTATCGTTTTTACTAGCAGTTATTTGAATTTGTTAGCCTTTTTCTGTCGTTTCATATTCCCTTCCTGTTTCCTCGCCGGTATATAGTAAATCAGTTAGAGCGAACTAGAGTGAATTTTATCTGAAGTAGCAAAAAGTTTAGTCAGAGCGTGGCTTCGCTATTACGAGCGCACGTTGTTAATTCTATCAGCTACTAACTTCAAACCTCGAATGCGCATTCTTGCCGCCGAAATTATTATCCTGCCAGTGTAAGTTTCTGAATCAACTTGCTACGCTAAGTCGAATTGTGTAGTGCTGTATTACTGTTTATCTTTGAATTTGGTTGTTATTTTGCATTTTCAAGTTTCTTACCACAAGTAATTAGTGACAATATAAGCACGTAAGTCCGTGCTGTCTGTAAACGATTGTGTTCAATAAAAGGGTCTTTTAACCCTTTTCCCTGCTGTATTCATCTTCGAGTCCTTGCGAGAAGTCGTAGCTAAGACTTTTAAGTAGATCTAGTTACATTGCATGTTATCTAAGACGACTAGAGCCCACAGTACTTCTAAAATTTTTTTCCTGAAGTGCGCCATGCCAAAACAAATTTGTGTGACTTTTATATAACATTATAGATGCATGTACTTGCCTAACAGCAAATGTCAAACTGAAATACGTGCATGACTTTAATAATCCAGTATTAGTTTACGATTTTGCTATAGCTAGACTACAATATTCATGTACTTTATTTCATATAGCACTTATTATGTTCGAGATCCACCTCGTATTGTGTATACGAACATGTCTTTGAGAACAAAAAATAATAAAAATAGAATTATATAATTATGCGTCAGCTTACCAAATGATGTACCATGCTAGTTGTTGAGATGGTTAAGTTATAATGCGATATCATAGCCCCTTTAGGTTCTCCCGTCGTTCCACTAGTGTAGCAAATAGTTGCTATATCGGATGGAGATGGAGTCTGAAAAAAAATAATAATACATCTAATGGATTAAATGTCATTAAGCTGTTTTACCTATTGTAATTTAATTTTTGTTATTTTTCTCAAGAGTGAATAATTATAATCATTTGATGTGAGCATTAACTACCGTACACCTGTTCTTTGTAATTATGCTTTACATACTGGATTTTATTTAGCTTAAATGTATGCTATATCTTAACCATATCTGAGTTGTGACTTACTGTGATTTAAGATAACTTTAAATATGAAAATCTAATTCTATGCCTCAAGAATCACATCCAGGGAAAATGGATTACACACAACAGTTGTTAGTTCTTTGAATAGATATTTGAAACTTCTCTGAGTATACAAATTCTAAGAGAGTTCATTCATCATTTTGTTTATAATATCATTGTTGAAATATATAATCAGTTCACTGTTATATGCATGTATGTATGCAATATCTCAAAACGGCTGCACGATTAAATATCTTTCGATGATTGGTCCTGTACCAATGCCCAAGTTTAAATGAGTGCTCAGTGCTACAGGCTAAAGCAATTTTCATTAAATGATGTTTTGAGCAGGTAAATACTGAACTGAAGATATGCAACTTGCTCCTCAAGTTTTAACAAGAAAATTGCTCTGCTTAGCCTAATTAGAAGAGCAAAACCTCATATTTATATAATTACAATCAACCATGACTAATGCTAAAATTCGAAATTTCTTTTTGGATGATTCAAAATGATGATGCTCATGTCAAACTTTCGAAATCTGTGGAAATCTCAAAATGGAAGATAATACAAATTTTTTCAATAAAAAACACCCCCTTTACCACTAGAAGTAACATACTACTCGGAATTTCAATTGCAGGTTATGCTGTTTGCTAAAAAACCGCTTGAGAGATGTTTCTGGCAAGATGGAGACAGGCTTTTCTCAAGCAGAACGAATTTATATATTGGAGCATAAATCTGAGCAAATATTAAGCATTTGATAACGATGCTACCTTTGTCAGATTTTTTGTTGGTGACTGGAACAGTGCACTTCCCTCTTCGTTCATGTTGTCCGAACTCAAAAGAGACGGGCAACCATTTTATTTCTTATCATGGACGCTTTCACTTTCTCGCAGTGTCATTTCCAAATGGAAAATCATTGTAATGTTAGGTTCACGAACATCTGGAAGGTCTTCTCTTTAAACCTTCCGCACATTTCCTTAAGAATGCATTCTGAAATAATGGGCAATCTTTAAAATTCATTCTGCTTGGATAAAAGGCGTCTGCATCTTGAACTAAACAAACGGTATTTAAAGCTAAGACTATAAACTGCAACTGACAATTCAAATGATTTATTACTTATAGCAGTGTTAGGGTGTAATCCATTGGAACAATTCGCTCTCTATATTCATTTTCAAGTTTTCAAAATTTGATGTGCACCACTTGTAGGTCACTCTGTATTTAATGAAATTCAATTTTACGTAGCGTATTCGGAAACTAAGTACCGTTTCATTCTAGCGCCGTCGCAGCGCTGTGGTAGGCGTCCCGCGCATGCGCACTAGTCTTTCTTGTTCACTGACTTTCAATTGTCGCCATTTTGGTTTCTCTATGTTGTGTTTTCAGTTTGCTGTGCACATTCAAAATGTTTAAGACAATTAGTTCTCCCGCTGACTCTGAGATTCGTGCCGTGATTAAATTTTTGAACGCGAGGAATGTTAAACCGGCCGAAATTTATCGTCAAGTGACAGAAGTTTACGGTGAATACGCGATAAGTGATGGAATGGTGAGAAAGTGGGTAAGAATTTTTAATGCAGGTCGAACAAATGTCCACGCCGAAGCTCGGAGTGGCCGGCCTTCTGTTGTCACCGATGATTTGGTAAGGAAAGTTGATGAAGAAATTCATGAGAACAGACGCTTCACAATGACAGCTGTTTCAGAGGCATTTCCACAAATTTCACGTACTGTTTTTTTCGAAATTGTGTCTGACCGCTTGAATTATCGCAAACTGTGTTCCCTATGGGTTCCAAAAACGCTCACTGATGTTCACAAAATAAAGCGACTTGGTAGTGCCCTGACATTTCTCACGTGGTACAGTGATGAGGGAGAAAACGTTTTAAACCAAATTGTGACAGGTGATGAAACTTCTGTGTGTCATTTCACACCAGAATCGAAACAACAATCGATGGAGTGGAGACACACTCATTCTCCGAAAAAACAAAAGTTCAAAGTGACAATGTCATCACAAAAAATCATGTGCACTGTCTTCTGGGATAGGAAAGGCATTTTGCTTACTGAATTTCTTCCCAGAGGTGAAACCATTAATGCGGCACGATATTGTGAGACTTTAACAAAACTAAGGCGTGTCATTCAAAACAAACGAAGAGGAATGCTCAGTAAAGGAATTGTGTTGGCTCCATGACAATGCTCGGCCCCATACTGCTGGTGTCACTCAATCGTTAATTCGACAGTTTCAATTGGGAGCAGTTCGATCACCCGCCGTACAGCCCGGACTTTTGGCGCCAAAAACCGACTATCCACTTGTTCCTGCACATGAAGCGCGAGCTTGGTGGCAAGCGCTTTGGATCTGACGATGACACGAAAAATGCTGTGGAGTCGTGGTTATCGAAACTGGCGGGAAGTTTCTTTGACGATGGTATACAAAAACTGGTCACCCGCTATGACAAGTGTTTGATCATTGGCGGAAACTATGTTGAAAAATAGTTTAAGACATGTATTTTCATGTAAAAATAAAATTGGATTCGAAAAAATTGTTTTACTATTTTTTTTAAACGGTACTTAGTTTCCGAATACGCCTCGTATATGCTACCCATAACGATATTATTTTCTTTAGACGAAATGTTTTAACTCTATACTCATTTTTAACACTAACTTTTTTTTGTTAAGGGACTAATCCCCCACCCCAAACGTAAAAACTACATGAGGACCGGAAATAATTTACAAAATGAAACTTCATTGATGGCTTACATAAAAATTTAAATTATGCGCAGTTTTATTTAAATGTTTATATGACCGACATCATTTTATTTAGAAAGCTTAACTTGATAAGTTTCTTAAGATTAACAATATATTTATGGCTATCTGTTTAAGAGACATTTTGGTCTGCAATCTTTAAATAATGTGCCGTTATGGACTGTTATTTCTTTGGATTCTAAGAATATACAATAGAATCCCTTTTAACCGGCTTCCGTTTAAAGGAATTTCCGCTTTAATAGGCCGTAATTAATTTAAGTAAGAAAAAAAAATCTCTAGCGCACGAGACTGTGTATCGGAAATTCTGAAGATATGCTCATTTAAAAATTATTTTGTGATATCGCTGTATAATTGAATTTTATGGTTTAAGTGCGAAGAACATGATATTTAATAAATAAAGGTAAGGTAAAAATAACGCCCATTTGGCGGTAATGTAAATTCTGAAAGCTTTCAGATTTTTCTTTTTTATTTAACATTTTGTGTGTTACCTTTATTTATTAAATATCATGTTCTTCGCACTTAAGCCATAAAATTCAATTCAACAGCAATATCGCACAATAGTTTTAAAAAGAGCATATCTTTAGAATTTCCGATACATGGTCTCGAGCGCTAGAGATGTTTTTTTTTTTTTGTCCGTACAGTGTTGCCACTGCTTAATCTAACTTCGTTGAGTCTCTTAATCAAAAACTTACAAATGCTTTACAATATATGAAATAGATGATAAAACAAATTCCAAATTTTGGCTTTTAAATGCCCATATTCGTGTGGAGACATACGCTATTCAAAATTTGATGGCTCTAGGTGCCGTTGTTTTATTACAATGCAAGAAACATACATAGATTTTGAAGCTTTGTCATTAGTGTCTTTAAATATTATACTGGGCGATAATATTTGGTGTCAACAATTTAAAAGTGATTTGCCGTTTATAGTGAATCAACGCAAAATTCCAAAACGAAATTAATACTCTTCTGGGCAAATTGTCAATTTGGGTTAAAAAAAAGTAAGCTAAAAGATTATAAAAAATTGGAAATTCTGTAATTATGTATTTTAAATGTAATAAAAAACAAATAAACCTTAAAAAAGGAACACTATATACAGTAACGGTATCGCACTATCGATGAATTAAAAGTGACTGATATCTGTAGCAGTCTTCTTGCCAACTAACATACCGCCTCTATCGTAACCCATGGACCAGTGATAAGAAAGTGTGATAGAAAATTTAAAGAAACAGTATTGAAGAAAGCTTTTGACAGCTCTCAGTGAAGAGGTTAACTCTGATTGAAGCCTCATCGATTTATTGAAAGCGAGTAATGTAAAGGAAGCTATTTATATGATGGCAAGGTCATGGTAAGAGGTGGATGAATCTACAATGATAAAACCTTGGCGGAAACTTTGGTTGCCGTATCAAAGAGCCTCAGAAGGAAAAGCAGTCACCGCAGTTGAAGAGACAAGTTTTGCGTCGTCATTCATGAAAGGTATCTTCAGCAAGAAATTTTGTCAGATAGCGACATCACCGGAGCTGTCTCTGATGCGGTTTACAATGATGATGGCTCCGGCATCAGTGACAATGCGACCTCCGTCCCATCATATACAGATGGAGCAAAATCACTGGAAATGCCTTTATGCTGTGTGGAAGAACAGTATCAGCTTTTTCCATTGATGCGATGCCTTTTAAAAAATGGCGAAACTATGCAGCGAGTATCCGAATTTCCAGCTTTCAGAAAAAAAAAAAAAAAAAAGACTGAAATTTTTTAAACATTTCTGCTAATGGTATGTAACACTTGTAATAAACTTGAACATTTAATAAATACTTACTTTAACTATAAAAAAATGCATTTCCGCCAAGTAAATAAATTTTTCTTCACTCTCCACTTTAACCGGAATTCTGCTTAACCGGCTTAACCCAGATCTCATTTAGGCCGATTAAGAGAAAGTCTACTGTGCCTCAATTTTGTTTTGAGAAAACGATCTAAATAACTCAAACAATGAGAAGTTAATTAACTCATACACAATCTAAATAACTCATACAATGAGAGACTGATTACTTACAACTGTAGGAGCTGGATTTTTCATTCCACTTTCCTGAAAGGAAAAAAATTGCAGTAAGAGAAAATTTCTCAATACACCGAAATAATTTTAAAGAATATTTTCACTTAGTTTGTGCTTCGACTTTGAACACAACCGGGTGTTTTATTATAATCCATTAATCCCCGAACCTTGAATGCATGTCGAAACAAGCATTAGAAACAATATGCAGGCTATGAAATCAAGCAATATATGACTGTTATATACGGCATACGGTCGGTGAATCAAAATGACCTTGAGGAATCTTCAAGTACACTCACGTCCATAAATTAAGGATAATTCGGAGTCACGCGGAAATCGAACTCTACAATAAATATATCACCTGTAAAATCACTACACACATCTTCAAGAATCATATGCAAATTTCAGCAAGTAAGCAGATGACACCGATGGTACGTCACAATGACGAGAGTGTAAGAGAGTGATATATAACGAATACAGGCAATGAAGTAAAATTGTTCGCAGGCGCTTTATAAGCATTTCAGTGCAATAACCGAATAGTCATGACACAAAGGACGCATTTGGATGATTTTTTACGTGGTAGAAATATCGGCCGTCTGGAATGTGGACGTACCCAACTGGAAGTATCAGACGAACTTGGAATTGCCCAGAGTGTCATCTCCAGGCTTTGGCGACGATTCCAAGATGATGGTAATGTGAGTAGACGTTACAGCACAGGTCGCCCCAGAGTTACAACGCCGAATGAGGACCGGTATTTAGCAGTTATTGCCAAAAGAAACAGGCAGAGCACAGCTTCAGACCTGTCTCTGAAGCTGTGCTCCGCTTCACCGCTGGTACGACAATTTCAAGGCAGACCGTGTACAGACGCTTAGGACAGATTGGTCTATATGCTCGTAGACTTGTCAGATGCGTTCCACTTACTGCAACTCACTGTCTCCTGCGGTTAGCCTGGAGTAGATAGCATGCATTGTGGACACCGCTACAGTGGGCTTGTGTGATGTTTTCCGACGAGTCGAGGTTTAGCTTGCAGTCTGATTCTCGCCGGACTTTCATGTGGAGAGCTCCAGGTACCCGTTACCACCAAGAAAACATCATTGAACGACACCGTTACGGTGGTGCAGGAGTGCTCGTTTGGGGTGGAATTATTCTGGGTTCCAGAACTGACCTGCATGTTCAAATTGGAACCATGACAAGCCAAATCTATCGGGACGTCATTCTGGAACAACATGTATGTTTGTTTCGGGGCGCCATGGACGGACAATTTGTGTTTATGGATGACAACGCCCGTAAAACTAAACCATTTAATGATAAATAGGCTTTTATAAATAGGCTTTAAGTATCTTAATAATGTGCTTCAAATAAAATTTTATTTATTTTAAATTTTAAGAACAGTAGCACACAAATTTTCATGCTACGATTAAAACTTTAAAAATTTAGAATAACGAAAAATAAAACTGTGCTGATATTTGTTTATTTCTGGTAATTAAAAAATATCAAGAATGTATTGCATACGAAATTTAATAGTAATTTGGATCTGAGTAATCTGAATTTGAATACATGAAATGGTATGTAAGGAAGTCAAAGTAAAATGCTTGTACCCAAATCTGAAATGAAAAATTGATTTAAATTTATAATTTTACTCAATCAATCCATTTCTCTATAAGAATGCATAATAAACGTTAGAATTCAGTTATTTCTTTTAAATAAAATTAAATACCTTGTGATATTACTTTTAACTTGAATCCGATTTATAGTACAACTGCTGTATAATTGTAGGAAATATTGTTGAAAGAAGCTGTTCTGTATTAGCTTAACTTTTTACGAAGAGTAATATTCAACTAAGTTAAATTAAGGATTGTATTTTGGAAACTCGTAATTATTTACATAAACATTTTAATATAAAAATTAAAACTCTTTTGACTCTCTGCGAAATCATTAGTGCACTTGTAGTAAATGAAATTAAACCTGAAAATAGCAGAATTGTATTCACGTTAAATTTTAAATTTTCTAAATTTAAAATTATTGATATTTTCTAACATTTTCTGATAATGTTCTAATATTAAAATTATTTTCTATAATATTTTAATAATTTCTATAATATTCTAATATTTTAAATATTTTGTAATTATATTCGTTTCTCTCTTCAATAAAATCTAACATTTTTCTGGAGGGGAAAGAAGCAGAATATTTGCAAATAACTAGAAGAAAATGTTATGAAATCATTTGGGAGTTAAGAATATAATATTTTGGTAATTGAGATTATAAATCATAAAAATGGTGAATTTTGAAATTATTTATTTCGCATTACACGTTTAAAACATTATCTTGCTACGCACTAAAACTGTAACTATAAAAATATATAAATAAAATATCATACTTCAATTTCGTGAAACATATGAAGACTGACTTTCTTCTTCTCAGCAAGCTCATGCGCACCCTGAGATATATTATTTATAACCACAATATGCTTTAAACATGGGCAGTTCTCTAAGTTTTGCAGCAGAGAAAAGACTTTCTCTTCCTTATCACATATTACGATAGGGATTTCCGCTGTGCAAATAGAGGGAAAATGGATCAATTGAAGATAAATAATAGTATAACAGTTCATACATAAATCTACTGTAACAGACTGTGGATTAGTGTTATTTCGGAATATGAAAACTAACATTTAAATAGTCTTCTATCATTTTAAATTTTTGGTCTCTTATTACACAAATTCTTGTCCAGAAATAAGTTTAAGAAATGTAATTTTCATTCAGAATTTCAATAGGTTTATAAAAATGGGATATTTTAGACTGTCGCAAAAGAAATTCAGTTCTGAAAGAAGTTTTAAAAATATTAGTGAATGATAATTTATAATAACGTCCTAGAATCTTTAATTATGTTTCCTATGTTTCAAAATTTTATGTCTTTTCCTTTTACTAAGTTTGAAATTCGTATTTGATTTTAAAAACATTTGTTTAGTTATAATTAATGAAATTATTCATTGAGCAAATAAAAATAACATTCATATGTAGTTGATGCGAATTTTAATGGAATAAGTTTCTCTTTTTTAATTTGAATAATTAGAATGATAATGCACTCATTATAAAAAATGTAACTGAAATTGTAACCAAGTTTGTAACTGATAACTGATTTTGTGATAAAAAAAGCTTTTAGTAACAGTTTCAAACAAAATTTGTTATTGAAAACTGATTCAGTGATAGGAAAAGGTCTAAATCTAAGGTTATCAGGTTCAGTGTTCCTTCTTACTTTCTTTGAGAACATGCAAAGACCCTGACTCGAAACAGGGAGCTTACTAAAGCTATGTTCAATAAATGTGGGAAGTAGACAAGATACACAGGAAGGGTATACGAAACCCTTTATTTTTCACTCTTTACAATAATTTCCGTACTTCGGAATACAGAGACCAACTACTTGTGGTCTGAACGTAAGAATATAAAAATATTTAACTAAACTCTAACTTAACTTTGGAATAATAAACAAGGGCCTACGTGGAAGATTGGCCGTATATTAACAGGAAGCTGTATGCAGTACAGAGAACTGTTAGCACTACAATACGTTTAAAATTATCAAGAGGATTAAACCTCTGGCCTGGAAGGCAACCAGCAACCGAGTAAAACTGCTTAGGCAAGCGGCCTGCTTCGACTAACTCCTTCCTCTCTCTCGCTTGGCAAAAAGCCACAACTTAAGTACTTGGCGTTCGCCAGACAATTTTGCATAAATAAGTTAAAGCTTTTAATTCTGGCCGGAAGTAGAAAATAAGAAGTGATAGTAAAGATTTAAAATAAAAATAAACGTTAGTAAAACTTAAGATCCTTACAATGTTAATTTTACGTCTAAAAATTACTGATATAATTTATATCTAAGAAAATCTTTTGCAATTCTCTGATACTCGGGATAGCGTTAAAATCGTACCCTAATGATTATTCATACGTTAAGAATAAGCGTTATTACAAAAACAGAGATATTAACATACCTTCTTTGATAATAAATGAGCAGGCACTGGGTCCTAAAGTATCATAAAGTGGAACATTCACCATAGATTGGTTATAACAACCGTGCTCGGCTATAATCCACTGCAAAAAAATCATAAAATAATTTTCAAAATTCGATTCCAGTTCGATGGAAGCAAATGATGTAATTTGCAATCAACGAATGATCACAAACTCCTCCATATTATATTATCACTCATACCTGAAATACATAACTTTGGGTTAGAGTTTCTAAAGCTTTTCTGAAATTGAAAACGCACACACAAGGAATATGTTTAGAATACATGCAATATATTTAGAATACTAGCAATATATTCATAAACAGACCGAAAAGTCTTGGTCATTATTTACATTTTCTTTTCTCTACTTTCTCGTTGCCGTAATTCAAATAACATAATAATATAACATATAATAAACAACGTAATAATAAAGTTGAGCATGGTATTTTTCTTTATGTTATACTATTTTTTCGCAACAAACAAGCGGAAAAATGAGCGTTTTGATAAGATTAACATTACCAATAAGCAGAACATTATAAAACAGAAACTTAAGAAGCACCAAAACATATTAAAATTGAATTAAGACATCCGTTTCTAATTTTAAAAACTTAAATTTTAATACTTTTGTTCCATGTTTCATGAATTTAATTTACAGATTTAATATGATTTTTCAAACCGCTTAAAAACATCAAATTATTCTCTTTAAATATTTTGGAGTTTGGAGATAAGTCTGTATAATAGTATATATATGTGTGTATGTAAGAAAAATAAAGAATATGTAAAAGATTAAATTATCAGTGTAAATTAATTTCCCTTCTCTATTCTAAAAATCTATTTGCACATCTATTTGCGCTGCGTCATTTCGAGGAAAATCCATGTCATATGACTCTTACGTAATTCTAGTGATGTAAATTGAACTAAAAACTCAAGCAGCCAATAATAATTTTACAGCAATATTAACTACCCAATCAAAATGCTTTGAGAACCAAAACTAACTCAGTTTGATTTGAGATTTCATCCTGAACATTATTCACTTTCTTTCTACGCTTTGCCTTAGCTGGCCTGCAATCTGTCTGCTTTTTCTTTCTTGCTACAAATCTATAAAAAATGTAAGCTTTTTGGAACAGGCTCATTTAATGGGCCGACTTGTGTGTAGCCGTAACATGTTGCTGAAAATAAATTAATCTGCCTTCGCCTCCAATTTCCTAGTCATTATGGATCAGCGCTTCTACGCCATCAAAATTCCTGTTCCTGAGTATATTACATACATATATAAAGAAATACAGAAATAGGCTAAAAATTAGAATTAAAAAATTTTTAAACCCGTCCTGCGATATAGCTGCAGGATTGAAGCAGAATAAACTTAAAGAATCTAAATTTATTATTAAATTAGAATAAAAGCAAGGCAATTCCTCTGTAATATGATTAATTGCAATCGTGTATAAGAGGTATCAAACAATATCAAAACACATCCAATTTAAAGAAAGAATTCATAGTAGAACAAACTCGAAAAATAAAAATGCGAAAGGGAGAAATATACAAAATTAGACAAATAAAAATTAATCTTTTTTATTGAAACTCCAATTCAGAACTCATCAGAGGAAAATGGATTAAAGCTTCATAAAAGTCGATTAATATGTTTCGTTTTCCTGGTACATTTGAGATCAAAAACCATAAAAAGATTTCATCAATTTTTTTTATCTAAGACTTTAAAATTTATATAAAACCGAAAACTCGAATCTCAAATTTACCAGAATTTTTACAAATTTTCGAAACACTTGGAAAAAAGAATGAAACATAATATTGTGCCAAATAGACAATTAAAAAAACCATAGAACTTCGCATTATGTACATTGATATTAAAAAAAATATTGTCTAAAGCCAATATATGCTAATCCGAAATTCAAAAGCAAGTATAAATAAGAGCAAATCTAATTGTCATTTTAACAAAACGTAAAAACTGGAAGATCCACGTCCCAATTTAGGCGGGACAATCCGAACTTCAGACTTCATGTCCCTAGGTTCTTCGCTTGTCCCGTTAGGACGCCTGTTTGTCCCGCTTTTCTGCAAAAGAGATTTTTAACGTCAATTAACTCGAATTGAGCGCCACGGCGCATTGGTGACGTCTCGCTGATGCTTGCTTCCGATAAACATGGACTGCCGATAAACATGGACCTTATAAGAAATAGACTAACTCAATTGCGTTTTCTCCCTTGTCTGGCACGTTCCCGGTTGTCACCTTGATCACATCCGGAGGAGTGGGGACGACTTCCAGAAATTAGCAATGGTTGGCTATTTCAGCGCGTACAATTGTCACGAAAAAGCTGGTAGTAGTGCCTCATTTCACAAGTAAGAATTTTTAAATATTTTTATTTTTGACACTGAGATTGCTTTTTAAATACTTAGCATGTTTTTCAAGCATAATTAACGTTCTAAATAATTATAAAGCTGTTGCATGCTTTCAGGCTTGTATATATTTTAGCTTTTCCTATGATGTAAGCGAATTTGTAACTTCTTCTTTTAGAAAATAATATTTTAAATCTGAACTAACAGAAAAATTCAACCAAGTAATTTTCTCTTACAATTACTAAAACTATAACTAATACTAAACTATAGCTAAATACTAAAATGCCTAAAAATGAATTTTTGAAAGTTTTTCTTTAAAATTTATAATTTTTTGCTGCTTTTTTAAATTATAGGTAAATTTTAATTCCTAGCATTATAACTAATCAAAAATAAGAATATTTAAGAACGAAAAGTATACATCTTATATAGCTGGTTTTGTTGTTAAAAGCTTAGCTTATAAAGTAAAATGTAATATCTGTTTCTCAGCTTTAGTTTCAACAGAACCATATGATGGTTTGCTAGGTTTCAAATATTATAAATCTGGATGTAAAGGTTTGACTTCTCCTTCCAGTGACGTCCGAATGATCTGCAAAAATGCAGAAATAATTTTTAGGCAGACTGAAAAGGAGTTTAAAAATTGAATAAAAAAATATTATAAATTTCATGACTCTAAAAGTCTTAAAAAGCGTAGGAACACATATATTTCCTTCTCTTCAAGACCATATTTATGATGATGAGCCAGATAAAAACCACCTGATTAAATTAATTAAAGCAGTGATATTTCAATATTTAAAAATCAGAATGCATCATGCAGTTGCATGTTACAATGAATCTAAACAGAGAGAAATATTCGAAGCAGATTTACTAAATTAATTTTATTTAAGCATCAATAAACCATATTATCTGTTTCTCTTCCTCTCTCTCTCTCTCTAAAATATATATATATATAGGTGTGTGTATTTACATTAATAGATAAATAGATATAATCTTGTTTTCACAAATATTTGAAATAAAAAGTGAAGTAAGCGAATTTTTCAATGCAACAAATATCCTAAATTGTTTACTTTCATACATATGTATTTATATGGATGTATAGTCATTCTGCTTAAAGTATTTACAGGTATATAAAATTACAAGGTTACTTTAGGCGCATTAATAAAAATTTAAGATTGGACATATAATATCTTGTATTTTATAGTAATTATTTTTTTTAATTTATTTCTAGTTCCGCATAAGATTTTTTTTTATTTACTGCGAATTTTTTTTTTAAATTTTTCATTACACTCAGAAAAGTTTATGCTCCGAATTTTATGAGTTATTAATATTGTCATAAATGATCATCTTTTAATACCATAATAATTTTGAAAACAGAAAAAATAAATAAAACAATCCTTGGTTTCTATAAACATTTGAAATGATAAATATTTGCTACTACTGCCTGAAAATGTTCATAAAATTAAAAAAAAATTACCAAATCTTGTTTAATTTTACCTTATTTGTTTCATAGCATCATGTACTATCAATCTTACTTAATTTTACTTTATTTGTAGGCAAAAGTAAATTCATAAATTTTTTGTTTAGAGTTTTTACCGTTTTATCAAAGTAATGATGTTTAGACAAGAATTACGCTTATGCTCAAAATGCAGTAAAAAAAATACTCAAAATGCACTAAAAAGTGGTTTCATGAGATATATAAAATCTTATTAGCAAAAACTGTGATTTTTATTATCTCATCATTTATACAACGTATCACATTTAATAATTAAAAAGAGTTATGTGATACAAACGCCATATGTTTCAATGTTACGATAAACTAAATCGTCCCTACTCTCTCTTTCCGACATGTGTGTGACGCACGCCCCGCCCACTGGGTTATTCTATTTCTTATAAGGTCCATGCCGATAAAGCTATGATGTCATCACTCAAAAACCATGGACCTTATAAGATCCATGTCATACCTCTCTTATAAGGTCCATGTCAGAAACGCCGGCGGCGACAGCGTTGGTGGCAAAGAAACAGCGTGTGCGAAATATCTGTCGCCGAGCTCCAAGCCGGCGTCGAAGTTCGAAGGTCACGTTTCTCAAGAGTCTATAAAACGAACATCGTTTTAAATTTCTTTAAATTTTGAAGGAAAAGAAAATTTTTCGCGCAAGTAAATTAATTAGTGGATTAGTTATTTTGAGCTAAACAAAGTGCGAAAATCCGAGTTTAAATTATCAAGAAAAGTCAAAGAAACGTTTTGCCATTAAACGTTTCTTCTTAACACCATGTTCCTCAATTTCCTGTACACGTCGTGGAGGGAGAAATTCTCTCCGCCAGGTTCTGTCGCCAAATCCCTTAGCGAATTTTCCCTCCTTTTTCCAGTGACGTAATAGCAAGTTGGTTTACATTACATTCTAAGGAACCTTTGTTTCCTTACATAGATGTTCTTTGGCTAAGGTGATTTGTCGCAATTGTCGTGCTAGGTATTGGTTGTGCTGCTCATATTGTCCACAATGCAATCCAAACAGCTGGAGATTGCTTGCAAATTGATGTGGAAGCAATTATTATGAAAATTTATTATTATTTCTATATCTACACTGTTCGTGTTGAGCCATTCAAAGAATTTTGCGACTCTGCCTGTGTAGAGTACCAGCGCATTTTAGGATACGGAAAAACTAGATGGTTATCACTGATGCCTGCAGTACAGAAAGTTTTAAAATTATTTCCTGCATTGAAATCCTATTTCTTGTCGGAAAGAAAGTGCCCTACCCTAATCCCAGTATCTTCTGAAGTGAATGATTTAATAGATAAATGCACTGAAAGAAGCGCAAAAAACGTTTTGCCAAACAAAGTACGTATGTTGATTACCTAATTAGAAGAGGAAGAATTGAAGATAAAAAATGACGTTATAAGAACCTTTGTAAATTTTTACGACAACTGTGCTGGATATCTGAAAAAGAGGGTTGAGCAATTCGAAGATCTGAATGCATTTAGTTGGGTTGCGTTATAGGAGCTCCCGTCGTTGAAAAAGACTAGGAGCGGCAACTTTTTTGGTGGAAGATGCAAAGGTGACATCGATGATCATAGTTATTTCACTAGTAAGCTACTTAGCGATTACTTCACGACAAAAGATTGCAGATGGACTGTCAGAAAAATCTCGACGTCGAGGGCGAAATGTTTCGCATTTCAAGGATAAAAACGTGCCCTGTGCGCAATCCAGAAAATTGTGGGTTTTGTTGTCCAGGGACAAACCAGGACTCTTCCAGGACAAACGCTGCAGTGAAGAAGAGTTTTCTCGTTTGATATCAACGACAACTAAAAGACACAGTTAAATGAAAACAAAGCATGTATGTTGACGTGCAATTTTGATTTGACGTTCTGTGATGAGTCTACGAAAGACTTCTTCAAGAGCCAAACTTCTTAGAAGATTTATTCGTCGATGAAATCGGCTACGGACCACTACACAGGATGAACCTTCTAAATAACGGCTGTCAGGACTCCCATCGTCTGCGTCTATTAATACCTGCGGCGTATGTGCTGGAGGACACATTCAGCGTATCAAGGAGTTACAACTTTATTTCCGACTGCTTTTTTTTTTTTTTTTTTTCTATTCTTTGCTCGCTCTTACTCTTACTGAAAGCACGTCTGAGTGTCTCAATTCAGATCCCAAAGTCCGTAATTAATGATTTAATAATTAATTCAGTCTGAGATATGGATAAATTCTATTTTTTCTTTCAAGAATAGAGTCTGTTTAACACACACCTAATTCGCAAATGATGGGCAAACAGGACAATGAGACTTCACTAAAAATTTTGCACTCGGTATTTTCACCTTCAGAGGGGGCTACCGCCCTCTCCCACCCTCAGCCAGCACTTAAATTTGGATCCCTGCGTCCTGCTTTGCCCTCCGGAAAATCTGGTCACCTTACTAAAAAAGCTAAAAACTGTAAACCTATTTGAAACTATGAATGAAAAAAAAAATTGAAAAACTAAACGTACTGAAATCTTAACACGACCTTCTATGCATAATCTAATTGAATTCTAAAGATGACCAAAACCGTCTTCTTGCTAAAGAAAGTAGAATTCAAACTGCTCTGCAGAAGACGAAATTTTCAAAATGTCTTACCCTGTTATACTTTTTGTGTGGGGGTGTTAATGGTTGGGTCGGTCTGTAAAAATTATTACCTACGAGGAAGGGGTAATCGTCAACCCAAAATGGCGGTGTAAGAAACTTCTAAAAGAAGCTGCTCTCTGTAAAATCTTCGAGCGCGAAAACAGAACTGGCTCAAAGTTGCGGAAAAAAGTATATGTTTAGTACTTTTTGTTACCAAACAAATTTCTAGTGTGTCTTTGCAACAATAGAGGGCCCTACTGCCTCATGATTCAATTACACGTGGGCGGCATTTCTTCTATTTCAAAGTGTTATGTAAAATAAATAAGAGTTACAGTCGCTTTCTTTGTTCTTAATCAATATATGTTATAAATTTCTTATTCTTAATCAGTATATGTTATAAAAGATAAAAGCCTTTACGTAATCGGGGTACAATACCCCTTAGAAACTAAAAAACCCATTTTTTAGTAACAGCTAGAGTTGCCAGTTATAATATTTACAAAAGAGTAGAAACATAGTACATAAAAATAGCAAGATAATTAAAAGGGAAAAAATACAAGATCTTTGTACATATTTACATTAAAGTTTTTATGGTAGTCATCCAACTAATGCCTCCGATTAAGGTTTAAGTAATAATTATCATATTACTTTAGATGAGAAATTAAAAAAAAGTAGTTAATACCAGCTTTCTTTGAAGATATAGAAATTTTGAAAAGAGGTGTTTTATTGTCTAAGAGTATACTGACTAAGTTAGTGATTTCTTCTTGTAAGTCTTCGATTTTGTTGCAATTATTTTTTGTTCTAATGAGTTGAGTATGTATGGTATTAAGTATTACTCTTTTGGAAATATTGGAGTGCCAATGGATGAGCATATGTACTTTATATAAATATATGGACTCATCTATATGTCCTTTATATAAATATACTATCTTCTTTATATAAAGCTTATATTATTACTCCCATTCATATTCTAAGGTAGCGGTCGCCAACCGGTGCGCAGAAAATTGGGACATTACTTATATTTTTATGAAGATTCAGTTTAAAAAATGACGAGTAACAAAACGTATTATGGAATATGGATTATACTTTTTTTTAATTTTAGCTATTACTTTTTAGCGAAATTCCTTCTGAATTTAACGACTTTTTAGCTACTTTTGCAGGTGTATCTAGCGACATTTGAAAGTGAGAGTTGGCATCCATGCATATGCTGCTGTTATCAATATTATCGCGAATTGGAATTTTCTTTCCTTTTGAATGACAAACATATGCTGTTGTAGTCGTTAATAACACAGTTTTTCTCTGTGTCAATAGGCAACTTGATGGATTTTTATGAGAACTATTTGCATTCTTGTTTATAATTGCGTAACTGGAAGTTTCCGCTTTTGTTTGGTCTAACTGTTGATTGATGGCGCCATTGCTGAGTAAGCGATGATTATTATGTTTACAATAATTAAAAATACTTTCAGTTTATTAATATTACTTTGCGTTTCTGTACAAGAAGGTAAGGTTTTGTATTTTTCATATAATTTTTCAATGTGAACGAAATATATGTATCAGTGAGATGTTAATAGTGTTTTAATTGTTACTCATAATTAGGAGCGTAGCCTGAATTTCAATAAAGGCATGCTGCTGAACACCAAAGGTTTCGAAAATTATGAGAATTAGAATTACATGTCTTGGAAAGTGGAATATTTGTTTTTCGTATTAATATGTTGTTATTAAGATCTGATTTAAGTTTTTTTTAATTCATATTAGTGGTCCGCCAAATATAAAATTATATATGTAATGATCTGTGATGTTCTAAGGGTTGACGACCGCTGTTCTAAGCATCTGAAAGTTTTTTTTTTTTTTTTAAATAAATAGTTTTAATTTGTTTCTGAGAGATTTTCACATCTTTAACAGCTAAATTACAGAAAACAGTCCATATTACTGAATTTCTTAATTTCATCCATAATTCACCATAGATACTTACTTCTAGACAGTTTTGAGCATAAATCCCAACGAAAGTTGACTGACCTGGTTTCATTCCGATATTGATCAAGCCAGAACCGAAGTTACCTGCTCTCTCCATAAACTGTTAAAAGATTTAAATGTTCAGTTATTTATGTTATTTATTGAAGTAAAAGTCGCATTCATATAAATAAAGTTAATGTTTCTGTATTTCTTTGAATCCATTCCAAGAATTTAATAATACAATATTGATAATGTTAATTATAGTGAACAACCAACATTAATAATTTTTTCGTCTTTTTTTTTTTTTTTTTTTTTTTTTTTTTGATGAAGTTAAGCATATAAACATATCGTATTAATTCAACACAAAATACCAAAGCATACTTCTATTTCAGAAGAAATATGAAAGAAAACTAAGTAAAACATTTTTGTTAAAATATTAAAATTTAAAAAAAAATGCTTTTATATGCTAAATGCTTGCAAAAATGTTAACAAAATTAATATAATCCCAGTTACTGATGTAAAGATCTGAACTTGAAATATTTTCAATCGTAACTATCTTGTAAATTACATGTATAAAATTCTAATATACTCACTTCGCTATATGTTATCCAAGAGTACTCTGAAATGGCATTTCTGTAACCAAAGCAAGGCCATCTCCTGAATTATAATAAAATTTATATTTAATTTTGTTAAATATTTTGATAAATTTTAACACATCATGTTTTTAAAGAACTTTTCTAAAAAGCTTTTTTTAAAAAATTTATCAGCCATAAAACATAAAATAAAATTAAGAGGTGTTCTAATAATAAATTATGTGATTCAGTAGTTTAGTGAACTGTGAAATTCCCAATTACTAAGAATATTTTTTTTTTCAAAATTAGCTCGCAATTCCAATATAAACAATTCACGGATATCGATAAGTCATGGATAAATACCCTAAGGATTAGCGGATACTTATGTTAGAGAACAATATGTGCCATTCATATAATCTAACAGAAACCTAAAAACTGAAATAAATAAATAAAGGAAGAATCTCATTAGATTCTTCCTTTATCATAAATATATCTTCTAAAGCATTGTAGCTATCCTTAGAATTTATTTGAACATTCCTAAAGCAGCTTCTGCAGATAATATAACATAACACATATATAATATACCATATGTAATATCTTGTATAAGTCATTATATAACACACCCTTAATTTTGAATATGTATTAATACATATTCAAAAATATGGTGAAGACTGCAGCTAGTTAAATTGGTTTTCGTTGTCGGAAATCACACTGAGTGCTCATTTAACTAATATAGATATTGACCCAAAAGTCCATTCACAGAATAATGTAGGTAGAGAGGTAAAAATTGACATACATGCTTAAAATGACATGGGGTTTTATTGAAAGAAAGAAAAAAAAAAAAAAGGGGGACCAACATATGGCGCTAGGTAGCACAAAGTTAATGACACCGCATGAGAATCGTGTATGAAATGAGCTGAAGTGAAAAATTGAATCAGTCCCTCCTGACGTTTTCACTTTTCTATCCTCGCCTCCGGGTGTTAGTCACGGTTTGATGTGGATTTATTACATCAATCGTGATCGAACCCTTTTTCCTTCGAGAAAATGCGTGGTTCTGCCTTTCAAACTGTCAGTGTGACGAACGCTTATATATTACAGAATCACATGATTTCTAGTCTGGCTGATAAAATATCTGTTTGAAGGTATGATTTTTATTCAGGATAGCACTCTACCCCATATTGCTACACGTGTGAAAGTTCTCTTGCACATATCGTTTGGTGAGGATCGCGTGCTCAGCCGCCAATTTCGTCATGCTTGGCCTCTCAGGTCCTCAGATCTTAATCTGAGTGATTATTGGTTGTGGGCCTACTTGAAATCGCAAGTCTACCGCGATTGTCAGACCTCATTAGGGATGATAAAAGACAACATCCGGACGCAATTTGTCATCATACTTACAGATATGCTCTACAGTGCTATTCACAACATTGTCCCTCGACTACAGGTATTGTGATGAATGACGGCCAACTTGTTGAACAGTGGTTATAAAGAACATAGTCTTTGCTAAAACTCAATTGTTATAATAATTATTGCTTTTCTTATCATATGAAGCGCCATATGTTGGCCTTTTTAAGCCCTTGTTTTTGCTTTCAATAAAACCTTATGACATTTAAAGCATCTATGTCAGTTTTTACTTCTCTACCTACATTATTTAGTGAATTATTGAATTTTCAAACGTTAACCGACTTGTGGGTCACCCTGTGCATTCTTTAGTTTCATCGTTTTGATTTCAGTAAACTAAAATCCTTCTTATCGTCTTCCCATTTACTTCTTTTTTGAGTATATTGGTGTTAAAAATTAATAGATTTTGACATTAAGAACTGTTTCATATGTTTATCACAGTCATAATTATCGTACATTGCAGCGAATTTTTAGACTTTTAAGAAGTTTAAGCAAAAATAATTATGTTCGAGAACTTGTTTAGCAATTGTTTTTCTTTAATGTTTATTAAGTTGTAGGGTTTATATTTATTTTAACTAACATTTATTTTAAGTTTAAACTATCTTTCCTGTCAAGCCTTACTTTCCCCTGGAACTGCCAATGCCAGAATATGTAAATTTGAGTAGAACGCGCAAGCATTCAAATTATCAGCGGAAGTAGTATGGTTTAAATAGAAGGAAACGAGTTCGGTGAGAGAGTTATTCTTACTTAGCGAGCGCGGAGGTAGTTAAATCGAGAATTGAAGAACCCCGCGTTGCGGCCTATGTGCTTGGCGGGAAGTAGTTGCAATTGTTCCAGTGAGCTTCAAGTCTGCTGAATTAGCTGCGGCTTTTGTAAAACGCGGTGAGTTAGTTATTTTAGAGAGCCTCGTAGTTAGAATATTGTCTTTACTTTCTTTTCAGGTTCTTATTTTTATTTTGACTGCCGAGTTGGCACCGTTTGTAAGCGTCAAGAGAACGCAATTGTAATTCATTACGTTGAATAAAAAGGGACTTAAACCCTTTACAAGACTCTGTGGTTTATACAAGCTTTCACAGTCACCTCTTGGTTGCGTGCAAGTTGTAGGCGCGCAACGTTATAAAGTAATAAAACGATGAATAGATTTCTAAAGCAAAGGCACAATCCCTAAATAAAAAGCTTGTATGCAAAGTCATTCTTCTTTATGTGTTATTTACTACTACTTTTACCAGATGTTGCCTTAGCTTAACTATGCTACTTGCGGAGTGATAGAATTAAATAAGAGATAAAATAGACGAGATATAACAAAAAAAAAAAAAAGAAAAGAACAGAACATTTTGCAACTGAGATGAATGTTTTTAAGTGAGCATTGTTTTTGACCTGATAATTAAGCACTATTTGAAACATTATCTCTTTATTTTGAAAGTAATTCTGTAATTTTATTAACTTTAAACTGCAACTGCAACTGACTATATAGATGTACAAATTCAAGACTGAAGATTATATTTCTCTTTTCACATACACTGGGATTTAATTATTTTTTGCGTACGACTCCTACTGATTCTACAAATTCAAATCTGAAAGATTTATATGCACTGAGACTTAATTCGGTTTTACTTAAGAATGCTGTTGACAACATAAGTTTAAGTCTGAAGCTATTATTTTCTTTTAGGTACGCTGTGATTTGATTCAATATCATCTATGACGTGATTGCTGATGTTTTGTTTTGGTTCAGTTTAGTTGATTATCGCAAAACACACTAGGAGTATCACAGCTTAAGGGGAGAAATGCCTTTGTGGAGGACTTTTGAGGGAAACTGACCCGTATACATACTACTATGAAGACGTCCATACAACTAGCCTATCTGATCGGAATCGAACTCAGGTCGGAACTACCAGAGAGAGAAATCTACAGCGATTTAATCACTCGACCGCTGGTAGACACTGCACCACTCCTATCAAATTCAAAGCTTTCTGACTGTATAAAAGGGCTTATGCGTGTTTCGTTAAAATGTAATCATTAAGCCATTCGAAAATAGGGGTTCATATTATTTTGTATTCCATTACTAATGATTGCACATAAATTAATTTAAAATAGAAATATTTGCTGTACTTACCCGTTATTCGACAACCTCGTTTCATTACATCCAAAACAGTTTTAACCTCATCGAAATGGAAACTTGTTTTATCTCCCAAAGAAACTAAGCGTGATTGTCGAGTACCGCGTGAATCCTACAACAGAATAAGGAAATGTAATATTTTAGTCTATCATTGATTAAAATGCCTGCTTAAATCAATAACATAAATAAACTTTGTCTGATTCAAAATATAGTGGTCTTGCCCAAGGTGAATTAATCATTAATTAATAAGACATTGTGTAATATTTTGAAGAATAATTTGGTTATTACTCTCATACTTCTAAAACCAAAGATCGTTTACATATGCAATTCAATTGACCTCAGCTCTGCGTCCGTAGAAATTTGCATGTCCATGACACCTTTTACATTACCCGTGGGAGAGCTTGTTGTTGCAAATCAATTTTTTAATATTTCATTTTAATAATCATCCATAATTTAGAGTTTTTTATGATTTAAATTATGCAAGCATTTTTTTTGCATAATTTTCAATCGTACTTTAAAAAAAAACATTCAAAGCTAAAATGATTGAACAGTGGAATTATGATTATATCTCTTGTGATAAGGGAGCTGTTACAAAAAAATTCTACCGAACTGTTTTTGAAAGACTGAAAAGTAAAGACTTCTTGCTCAATTTTAACGTTAAGCAATTTTTGTCTGGACATCGTAAGTTTAAATTTTATCTCGAACGGTTTAATCTGACGTCTTCCAATTTGGGTTATTGCAATCTTGGCGTTCAGCAAAGTGTTTTTCACCTGCTTTTTGATTGCCCATTGCTCGATAATGTAAGAAATCTATTGAAATGCAAATTAAAATTAATTGGAATTCATTGACCGCCAAAATGTTATGATTTTGTTTTATCTTCACCTTCGGCCTACCGAGATTTTGTCGACTTTCATTTTAAACATTGCAAATGAATTCTTTGTATATATAGATATATATTATGTATTTTTTGTGTTTGATTTCATTGTATTATTGAAAGTTGATGTGATTTTGCTTTTTTCACTTACGATTTGTAAGCCTCGTATGATACTTTGTGGTGCATTCTATTTCTTTAAATAAAAAAAGTTATGCAAGTAAATCTACTGTATTACTTATAAAAGTCAGAATATAAGAGCTAAAGTTACATATTCTGATTTCCGATAACGATATTGTTCCAAAATCACATAGGCGTAACAGATAATGATTTTTGGATATTGATTGTCAAGGAAAAGATTTCACCAAAAAGTGAATTATAGAAAATTTTACCTTTTCAGAAGGAAAGGAAGACTCACTAATTTATTTGAAGTATTATAATCAACTATGAATAAACATGAACAATTTATGGAATGAAAACCAGACACTGATCATCTTTAATGACTGTTTTTCGTGAGCAACATTATTGTCCTATATTCAAATTATGGCATCTTGGCTGATGAAATTAGATATCAAACATCACACTGCAAGAAAAATGTATACAAGGAGTAGGAAAAACTGATGGTCAGACTTCAAAGGATAAGAAACAGCTTCTGTGATGCAATGCTATGGTGAACGTGAAACATGAATGCGGAAGCAACATAAGTACGGACTTGGAAAACGGAAAGTCGTTTTGAGAACGGATGTTTACAAGAAACACTACCTGAAATCTACAAAACTGTTCAAATGAATGATTGTGTTTCAGCAAGATCAATAGGCTATTACTTCATACAAAAACTGATAATTCTAAATTTGCAAAGTAGTCAAGGGCTATGAAAATATGTTTCTCTGCAATTTTTTAAGACAAAGATCATTCCAAATAATGAAATCGATAATTAAAAACCATAATCACAGTGAAACCTCAGATCACTAACGTTTCACGTCACGAACAAATTATCTGATTATAAAACACCTCGAGTGACTAACAGTTCCTCTAGATGTGCACATCCCAATTGGCGAGAAATGATTTTCAAAAATGCTTTGAGATAATATCTCATACAGAATTCCACCTGGAACATCCGTATAGTAATCTCTATTAATAAACCATGATAAACTTTAAAACAGCCTTTTTGGGCGAACTTAAAATCTGAACTCTTTCGGATTTAACATTCTTTTTGTTTATTTATGATATTGTGTCTTTAAGCAAAAGCCTTGGCGAAGATATTACCAATGCAGACATGAAGCAGTTATTAGAGAACCAAAAAAATAATTCAACAGGAAAGAACTGCAACAACTTCAAAAGCAGCAACAAAAGTTAACTGGGGAGAAATGCATTCAGAGGAAGAGGAAGGAAAATGAGGAACCTAGTTTTTTGACCCGCGAAATTTGTATGATGTGAGATTCAAAGTTTTGTATAATGATATCACCCTGATAAAGTAGAAGAAAGCTGCAGCATAAGAATTTGCAGTGACGATGCCGTGTCACATTTTAAACTGTTTTAAAGCAAAGAGAACAACAAACTACATTGGATAAATCTTTAGTGAAACGGACAACCACTGATTCTCAAGCACAGTCAAGTGAGTCTAAAGAGAAAACAAGATTTAAAAATCTGATGTGTACACCACATGACTTCCTTGTACGGAATATTAAATTACACGCATTTTTTTCTTGAATTTCATTTAAAATGATTGGATTGAATAAAACCTACTTCGTCGACAGAGCATAACCCACAATAGAATAAAATGCACTCTTTAAAATTCACCATATTTGTTTACTATAACGACACTCTGAATGCACATAATTTATATCATTTGAAGAATTATCTTATCGTTGCCACATGTTCTATTCAAATACTATAAAAGCTAGAACGATGTATAAACGAAATTAAGAAAACAAAACAAAAAAGAAACAGCTTTTCACAGACGATTGAGTATTTCTCGTTCAATTAATTCAGTTCTCATTTCACGAGAAGGCAAAAAAACATAAAAACTCAAAATATCTGTATTAAAAATTACGAAGTAAATCTTAAACACTTATTTCCTCGAAAAAATTCCAGAAAGGATTAAGCATGATTTAATTCGCAATAATAAATGAAGGCGTTATTTTTGTTGTTGCGAAGCTTAGTCTCTCTAGATTGGCAACAAATCTACAATTCTGCTGTTTCAAATGTAAACAAACATGTCCGCCATGTTATTTAAAACTTAACCGCACTTAAACAGCTTTTAAATTGTTGATAATTGTACAAATATTGCTTCCAGAATTACGAAAGGCATAAAAACCTTAACCGGAAGATAAGAACAACATAATTCAATCATTTTTAGAGCAAAAAATGTACAATTTACAAACATATAAGAGTAAAAAAACTGAGATCACTGTGCCGAGTAACAGAGTGGATATAAATATAAATATAGTATTTATATACGTTTGGTGCGGCCGATTGCAACCAGAATACGAGGTGCACATCTACATGTTATAGCAGTGCTATTTAAAAAATTTCAACGTTCTGAGGCTGCTCGTTTTCGAGTTATGCGAGATACGTACGTACGTACGCACGTACGTACATACGTTCGTACAGACGCCACGAAACATTCTCTTCAGAATTTATTTTAAAGCAGTTTTATAATTTTTTTTGGAGGAAACGAGTCCTTTATTCTGTCCGTACGTACAGATATCACGCAAAAACATCGTTAAATTGCATTCGATAGCGGTCAAAATGGATATTTTCGTTGAAATATGCTGCCTGAAACTTTTCGCGATTACAATACTTCCTTTTTACTTCGTACAAGGAAGTAAAAATGATGTCTCAGAAAGTAAGTTACTCGGTAGGTTTATGGAAAGGGACTGCTCGTCCGAACAATAACGTGTCTTTCTCGTGACTTTTCACTTATGCCATCCTCTTTCTTTTGTGCGGGTGCTAAAAAAATTAGATTGAATTTTTGTCCATTTTATCTGTTTATTATAATGCGTATCCGTTTTTGGTCTAAGATTTATTTTTTTTTAATTATGGTTTCATGTCATGAATTTGGGCACAAACTACCCAAGAAACAGACTAATGAAGAAGTCATCTGTGATATAGGAATGGGTTAATCATTTCTACATTAATTCCTATGGAAAAAATACTAGATTCTATATACGGGCTAAGGACCTTCAGACATGAATTAAACTCGCGAACGAAGTTTCACTGTATTTCAAAAAATTAAGAATTTGGACAAATATGTATTTCTAAGGCCCACCTCATTTCTAGCGGAGTTCATTTGTAAAAACAGAGAGTCTTAGAATCGAAACAAAGCGGTAAAATATAACACTATTTAAAGAATTCAATACAATATTAATAATTTACTTATTTATATCCGTACCTGTATTTAATTCAGTACAAGAAAAGCTTTTTTTTCTATGGCAAAACTTCTCAATTATGTACGTAATAAAGGAGTTTTAATAAAAGAAAAACAGGTTAGATGGAATTTTTCTCATCTGCGCGTATTTGCTGTGGATTTTTAAATGCATTCAGAAAAGATAATGCTACAAAAATTAAGTAAATGAAGACAAAACTTACCGGAACCTCAAGAGACTGGTCATCAGGGTCTATATGTCGAGATTCTAGGCCCATATTGATTGTCGTAATAAAGTAACCTTAAGGTTTTCCGATAATTTAAAAAAATGTCTGAAAAAATGAAAAACAAAAATTAAACTCCTGTTTAGTTGAGCAAATTTAAACATAAATAATTGAGATAGACATAAGTCAGAAACACGCTCTGAATTTCATATATAAGCTTCACTTCTAAACTTATACGGTAACGTAACTTGTGTCTTTAATACAGAAAAATTGCAAAAACCAAAATTTAAATTATAGATACAAAATGAAAGTGTCACTTGTAATTATTTCTATAAATTATGTTATGCAAAGTTTTACTGTATTTTTTATGAAATAAAATCTGAGCTTTCTTAGTTACCAAAATACATATCAAATAGATACTTAAAAAACTTATTATTACATATTAAAAGCGCTCTTTGCGTTTCTCAAAAATTATAACTTAGTCAAATTAAGTGAGCGAAGATACTTCGCACTGAGATTCTTTGCACTGAAGAATGACATTTTTTCCCTTAAATACGAAAAGTTAATAAATTTTCCATCGCTATTCATTTGGGGTCTCTTGACGATTCTTTCAACTTTGGTACCAATCTAGATATCTTTCTTCAATTGTTAATTGCATTTCCTTGAATCTTTCCGTATTGATCAAGATATAATATTAAACAATCAAACATTAATTATTTAAACTTCAAGGTGTTATTACCAAATTTATTAGAATTCTTTTTTGCAAATATTTGCGGCTTTAGTTGCCTATTTTGTTAAAGAGACCGAGCTACAACTATACTTATGATTCGTGATTTTATTCTAATATTTTTACTCCTCGATGAGAAGGAATTTTTTTCATATAACGTTGAAATGCATATCTCTATCTCGGCAAACTATCGTAAATAAAACATGTAATTGCATTTGCTTAACTTCCAAAAGCATTTCAACATATCAATATACCTTTTTAACATTTACAAATAAGAAATTAGCATATTCTTCTTTGAGAAAAAAGTTTCATTCTTATTTTAGTAAACTGGAAGTAAGAACCACAAAATAAAGACATACCGATAATTATGATTTCCTGCAATTATCCAAACAATTTACTGTTTAATATATAGAAATAAATAATAAAAAAGATCTGATGGCTTTCAGATTTTATATTACGTCCAAAGTGGCGTTTTTTTAACGTTCTGGGTGTTACCTGTATTTATTAAAAGCCGTGTTTTTCTCCCTTAAACCATAAAATTCAATTCAACAGCAATATCGCAAAATGTTTAAAAAAAAATTTTTGGAATTTCGGACACACAGTTTCGCGAGCAGGAGATAATTTTTTTTTTTTTTTTTTTTTTGTGTGTGTGTGTGTGCGGTGTTACCATTGCTCTCTTTGAAATCGTTGAGTTTATTAATCGAAAATTCGGGAAGTTTTACAAAAATATGAAATAGATAATAAAACAAATACCAAATTCCACGTTTGGGCTTCCAGATGCCCATATTCGAATGGAGGACTACGCTATTCAGAATGTGATGTCTCTAGGTAAAGTTATTTTTCAAAATGCCGGAAACATACAAAAACTCACGCAGATTCTTCATTATTTAATTTCTTTAAATATAGTGCAGCGTTCTAATATTTTCTGGAAAAGTACTTCAGACTTAGTGACAGATAGTGAACTAACGAAAAATGCGAAAATGAAATCACTGGGAAAATTGCCCCTTTGGGATAAAAATTAATTTATTGTGATTATACAAGAACGTCTAAACTGTAATATATAGTCAAATTTTAATGTCTAAAACCAGCGAATACAAGTTATTTTCTTTTTGAGACTACTGACTTGCGTAGGCTTATATAAGATAAATAGATAAAGTTTTCTGAACATCGTTTATAAAGGCTGGTAGTAATAAAAAATATTTAGGAAAAAATTCTTCATCAGGATCTTAATAATGGAATATAAATAAGCGTTGAAAGATTGTGTGCTGTTAGTTAAGAGAATAAACCGAAGTAAGAAATTTGGAGTCATTGACAACATCCTGATCCAAACGTTTAATTATATAAAATCTAAATTTCAAACTTAAATTTCTAATATCTCCTTTATCATATAAGAGAGAATTTTTTTATGAAAATTCAGATTGTTTATTAACATTTTATTGTTTATAAAATAGGAATGAAAAATAATCATATTAAAAACGAAATTTAAGAGGTTATTGCAGAAAAATATCCTCTAAGGAATTACCGTATATTCTTTTAATATTCTCGCAGTATAAGTGCAAGTTCAGCTAGAATTGGAAGATGCATGTTTCGAATCCGCAGGAGAATGTTTTTGAATCTTCGCATTTCTTGCTTCGAAAAATAATCTCTACAATGGCGCTTAAATTAAAATACCGTGGCCATTGTTTATTATCACCTGTATTTGGTCGATGGAAGCGTGTTCCTCTCTCCTCTCGTCTTTCGAGTGCGGAAACTTTAAGCAATTATTGCGTTATCTTTGTGCATGCTGTAATGATTAGTATATTCAACTAGTATTAGAAGATCAATGTTTCGAAAACGGGTGACAACACAATTGATTCTTCCCGTTTCTTCATTTTAGAAGCTTTAAATACATACACTTATAAGATACTTCGCCTGCCTTCTTAGCGTGCCTCCGTGGTGTAGCGATAAGTACGATCGAAGCGTATTCGAGATGTCCGTGGTTCGAGTTCGGGCTGGACATTGCTCACTGTTCATCTTTCTTGCTTTCAAAAAAATACCTAATGCCCTTACACTGGCGCCCGAACTAAAAATGAGAGTGGATGATGATTCTCCCCCCACCAGGATTTGGCGATTGGGTCCCCAGTCGCTCTTTAAAAGGGGGAGTATATAAGGTATTTCTCCCGCCTTCTTAGCATGCCTTCGTGGTCTAGTGGTCAGCACGCACGGCGCGTATTCGAGAGGTCTGTAGTTCAAGTCCCGGAGAGGGCATTGTTCATTTTTCATTTCTTCTGCTTTCAAAAAATACCTAATGTCTCTACACACTAAAGAAAATCTTCAAAGACTGTATGCTAAGCTGGAATTGGAAAGAAATTTTACATTGCAACAGAATTACGCCCATAATTTGGAATGGTGTTAATTTAACACGGAAAAGAGCAAGATACCCTTCTCTATTTTCAAGAAATTAATACCAAAAAACGTACTGTACATGGGTTAATAAAATATACAAAGAAAGGGAAAATAACAAGCAAAGGCCATTTAAAATAAGCCCTACTAGAAGAATGAGCCAAATATCGTCACAGGTAATTCAAAATTTGGAAAAATTGCTGATTCGAGAGTAATATACAAACTAAAGGTGACACCAATAAAAAAGAATATTTTTTTTATGAATTCTCAGTTTTTTCAGTCAAATATCTGCAGTTCTTTATTTATTTTATTTTTTCAGTTTCATTTAAGTTTCATTCTATATTTTCGGCTTTAAATTGTTATGTTCAAGATTAAGTACAACTTTCAGAAACTGAATTATCTATTAATTCTGCGAAATGAAAATTTGATCTTACTTATCAAAATTTATTATTTGCTTTAAAGTTAATAATTTTCCTCCATTATCAGCATTTGGAAATTCCAAAGGACACCACCAGATTTCGTATTACTTTCATACATCTCGTGTTGCTTTGATATTAGTGAGTATCAGACATGAATTTTGTTTAACCTTTTCTTAACAAATTCAAGTACAGCTTTAAAAGAAAAATATTGCTCGCAAGGCTGGCTTGATTAAAATATGAAACATACTTTTATTCCACCAAATTTTAAACCATTACATTCAAATCAAAATTTTTCATCAAAACACCTTTGAGAATTTTGATCAGAAAATACATAAATGTGTATGAAACTGCGCGACAGTTGTAAATCATTTAAACAACACTACATTTTTAGAAACATTACAATACAGTAATAACTAATATATGAAGCAAATTAGAAACCCAGTAATGTTCCGAACATACTACAAATGTCCTATGTGCGCTTCCGTGGTGACGCTTCAATCATAACCAAAATCAGTCCATACCCACAACATTCCCTTGTCAATGATTATCAAATCAGCACTTGCCAGTGAGGGTACGTGTGAAAATACAATCCGTAATGTAATCCAAAGGAAGAAGACATATGGCGTTGTATCAGGAGACATAAGGGGTCTTTCTTTTCTTGCACCAACTATTATTGTATGTGCAATACCTTGTAGGGTTTATATTTATTTTAACTAACATTTATTTTAAGTTTAACTATCTTTCCTGTCAAGCCTTACTTTCCCCTGGAACTGCTAATGCCAGAGTATGTAAATTTTAGTAGAACGCGCAAGCATTCAAATTTATCAGCGGAAGTATTCTGAGTTAAATAGAAAGGAAACGAGTTCGAAGTGTGCTTTTCTTACTTCACGAGCGCGGAGGTAGTTAGTTAGAAATTGAAGAACCACGCGTTTCGGCCTGTGTGCTTTCCTAGGTAAATTGTTAATCTTTCAACGTAATATTCAGAGTTTGCTGAATTATCAGCGGTATTTTAGAACGCGATAAAGTTAGTTACGTTTAGAGAGCCTCGGAGTTAGTTACTTGTTAGTATCTCTTTTTAGTTTCTTACCTTTTATTTTATCGCCGGGTCGGCGTAGTTTGTGAGCGTCAAGAGCACGCATTTGTAACTTCTAAAGTTGAATAAAAAGGGACTTAAACCCTTCTCAAGACTCTGTCTAATTTCCAGTTTCAGCAGTCACCACTTTGTTGCGTGCAGGTTGGAGGCGCGCAACTTTACAACCTTTAAAATGTCATGTATTTTGGAATCTAACTAGTTATTTACAATAGCCTTATATTATGTAAAATTTTAAATATTTAATATTCAATATTAACAGGAATTGTATATCAAATAATAAGAAGAAAAAAAAATACTTACTTCGAAATAACCACTGGTTAAGAAACAATTGCTCCAAAAATGCAGACGCCCAAGGATTACTTTATTAAACTTGTGTATTTTTAATCTAATTCTCCCAATGATTTATCCTAAACCACAGCTACAAAGAATTTGTTCTTCAAAACTGAACTAGTAGTAATTATTTGAATCCTTCTTTTATATAGTTTGGCAAACCACAGATAATAAAATACTTAACTTGGAAATAAAACCTGAAATACAGTTAATCAGCTGAATCATCTCAAGGAAATCCTGAAATGCCCTTGAGTTAATTGCTATATTTTTAAATTAAATTTTCCTTATTCCAAAGCGAAGGAAAAAGTACTTTCACAAAACATCAGAAGAATGGAAAGTTTTTACCGGAAAAACGAAGTATGGTAAAGTATACGAGAGCTATCTGCTTAAGAGTGATGGTGGTGGGACGTTTTGGCGTATAACATGGAAATTATGATGCGCCAAACGTAAAGTTAGCGGTAGAAACAGGAGAAAAAAATTGATCCCCAGATATAACCTTCAGATTAAAACAAAGGAATTATGTGCCTGAGTGAACAGATCTTCGTCAAAGAATTTCTAGGGGATCTAGCTCTTTTCACGTTTCACGTGGAGAAAGTCATGAAAACTAACCATGCAGCCAGTCCAGTTTTCTGAATTCGAACGCGGTTTTAACAACCACTATTCAGAGGTCTTAGCTTCTTTTATCCACAGCAGTAATTTAATTCTATATAATCTGGAATATATAAACATTCTTAAATCATATGTTAAAAACAAATTGCAAAACCGTAAAAATAAATTAAGTGTACAGCAATCATCTTCTATTTCCACCGAAATTCAAGAAATAATGTTAACAAACGCATTGTTCTTTCTGTTTTGCAGTGTGTTCTTCTTGCTTTCTCTTTTCACGTGTGTCCTTTTTGTTTTAAATTCTAGTTTAATTAACTTAACGAAATTATTTTCCAAATTAACTAAGGGATATATTTAATTAACAAAGGGATATATTTAATAGTATTTTGGTGGGTTAAGTATAATATGGATTACTCCTCTTTTATGTAATCTTCTAACAGTTGTCGGATAAACCTCAGTTTTCGGTTAACTATGGATATCTGAATTCAGTATTATTAAGATTAATCGGAAATTTAAGGTATTTTTATTGCATGCAAATGATTCTAAGCATCGAAGTTCTTATGCAAACGAAGAAAATTGTAAATCTATCTTGAGGCTGATTCTGTGTTGTAAAATGTATTTCATTACAGACATTTATGTCTCAATTCTTTCCTTTTAGACAGAAAACAAACATTATATTTATCTCAAAATTAGACATTACACAATATTCTCTGTTTGTCGGCCGGGAGCGTCAACAAACAAATTATCTGGCGGGTCTATTCTTCAGCTAGTCATATATAATTGGATATGTGATAAACATGGAATTTTTAAGTTAATAACCTGCCGCACAAAGTACTATCCCTTGTGCATAGCTTTGGAAGTTCAATGCTACGTAATAATATAATACAGGATACTTTTTTAAAGTGAGCTTGTGTGGCAGTATTTCAGGGGGGCTCAAAAGCAAAAGCATTTAAAAATTCTTTCGCGTATAAAGTTTATACAGTTTTCTCTGTATCCTTAATGAACCAATAGACGAAATTGTGACAGCGTTGCTGGGGAGCAATTCCTGGATAAGGTTTCTAACATATTTAACACTGTCGTTTTATAGCACTAAAATGGCCGTTCAACACAGCCAACGATTCGAGGAGTGGTTTCCCTACATGTCCGGAAACACTTTAGCTATTAGGTCTGAGTGACTTGACCATACTGCAGAAATTTTACTGAAAAGAAATTAGAGCAGTCGTGAGGTCGTCATGAAATTTTACACTGTCAAGTGACAGTAGATGTTGTGCAAATTTCTTGCATTGGTTTCGTTTTGTAAGCATATCCCCATATTCGTTTTGAAATCCATTTTTCGCACCTGTCTCCATAAGGCTGATGAAATAAGACAGGCGTTAAGTTTATCCAATCGCACAGAGCGGCGAAATGTACACGCAAGGTTTCTCGAAAATTTCCAGCCTGAAAGAATATAAGAAGAAGATTTCCGAAGAAGTTAAAGCACTTGGTTAAATTTTCCGCAATTTAACCTGAGTTCCTGAGCTAGGGATTAGGTTAACTATCTCTGAGAATCTGTTAGCTTTTCAAGCAATTTGTATTTCTGACATGCTTTTCGAAAGTTTTCCACAGTTGTCCTTAGAAGTTTTTAGACCATTAAATAATGCTGGTTTCTGCGCAACGGGAAGCAAGATCCTGAGATAGTAGCATTCAGCACTGTAGACACGACCGCTGGTGTCAGTTTCGCATATAAATTAGTATGACCTGGAACTTGGACTCACAACTTCTTCCATCTGAAGAATTTTTCGTGATACGTTCTAAGTGAACAGTTACGTGGATAACGTTTGGGTATCATTAGTAGATAAGAGAGTTTAAAGAAACACTAAATAGCCTCATTACTGCTAAGATATCTTCCCAATTGTTGAGTCATTTCATCTTTCGCTTTTTTATCTGTCAACCAGAAAATATCTATGTCACTACTTTTGGTGACGTATTTCAGACGTACTTAATCGATTAAAACGAGTGGCAGTACTCTATTGATATGCGCGTGAAATATGTTTGAAAGGAGAGAGTAATATGGCACAATCCATCTGTTGTAATTTGATGTCGTTTGGTTGTTAACTTTAAGAGTTGATGTGATATTCCATTTTCAGATTTCCGTCATCTGTATTTCGAAGGTCCATCCTTACCTGATTGTATACTCTCAGCGAACTAACATGGATAATTCTTAACACATTTCACGTTTTTCTTGCAAAGCGCCCTCTGCTTTAAAGGTCCGCATGGCCATAAATCACCTTATTTGATACTATTTGGAATAACAGTGGATACCTTTGAATACCTGATAGCTCTGTAGAAATTATGTTGTCTCTTTCGTCTGGTTGGATTTTTTCTTCAAGACATACCAATGTGTTTGGTGCGAAAGATCTCTCTTTTGCCAAACAACTTAATATATCCAGCAACAGGTCTCTTCAAAAATGTGCCTTTTTGTAATAACGTCAATAAATTTGATAGGTTTTGCTTCAACATTCTTACAGTTAAATCGTGGCGATCAGTCGAAGCCCCCACTTTCATAAAATCAACTGTAATCCCTGACCATCTGGGGTTGAACGTAAAGGTTACAAAAAAATCCGACAGCCGTGGTTGCGGATATAGCATGTTGAGCAGATTCGTACATGTGCCTCGAATTGTCAGTGAGCATACCTGGTAATATGATCATTCCCCCTGTATCAGCGACACTCTGGTCATTGGCAAAAGCATTCCGTTAGTGAATATAGTCTTCAACACTCCCTTTTTTGCTGATTTAGCATTATACAAAGAAACTTCTCACCTTCGACATCACGGGCATTCACGATGTATGATAAAATTGATGTATTGGGGAATTGTAAAACCATATGTTGCGATTTTGCCATCGAAGTACTGACGGCGAAACTGCAAGATGTGATTTGACGATCAATCTCTCAGTATGATGTTGCGCATATAAACGTCCATAAGGATATACCCCTTTGGAGTAACATTTTCTCTGCAAGTATTGATTTTTGTGATGCTAAAAGTGTAGCCCTCCTCATCCTTCTAGAAGATTAGAGGATATTGCCGAGCGTCGTATGAATGGTATGTTTCTTTAATCCTTAGTAATTTTTGGTTTCGTTTTTGAATAATTATGCATAAATGATCGTATTGTTCCAGATCAAACATGACTGTGGCTGTATCGGGTTGGGGCGTTAAAAGGGTTGGGGTTAGTGGTTGGGGCGTCAAAACGTCGTTCATGTTCACCGGATGGCCTCTTGTCTATTTTATACACGTTTGTAGGCATTCTTTGTTTGTAGACTGTTTCACACTTTCTTAGCAGCAAACGGCTTTACGAATGAAATACACTTTGCAGATTTAAATGATGTATTCACTCAAGACATATTAGCACAAAATGGATTTAAAGTAAATTCAAAAGGGATCTTTCTTCTTGACATCTTTACGTATGTTCATGTATGTATGTATGCATAGCGCATAACTCAAAAACGATTAGCCGCAGAACATTGAAAGGTTGTATATGGGACTGCTAAAACCCCTATTACTGCACCTACCTCTTTTATTGCAATCGACAATATCAAATATATACATACATATGTATATATATATTTACCCATCCCGTCACTGGGCTTGAAAGTCCTTACCGGGCTTTATTTTCGCAAAAAAATTAATCGCAAATGTAAATAATGCAGCGAATATGAAAAAGAAATGTATGGCAGCACTTAGCATTCCATTCGGGATTCTAAAGATACGTTGCTTTTAAAGATTTCAAGATTTAATATAAATGCTCTGATAATGGATCTCGTTTTACGAAACCTTGACAGTGACCTTCCTCTTGCTTTGAACGTCAAGTGTGGGAAATTTCATCAAGATCGTAATAAAACTGTAAAATGGTATGAATTACAAACAAACGGGCAGTTTTCTGATATATATGACCTATTGTTTTTATCCATCGTTTTCACTTATGTTTTATTCTTACATTACCAGAATCAGATAGGACCCTAATAAAGTAATATCGTCAATACAAATACTCCTTCGTCAACTTAAGTACTTACAACGCTATAAGTAAGTTGTAATTACAACGTAATTACTAATTATTATTGTGTATTAACTGCAAAATAGCATCATGTCATTGTTATTGAAGGCACTTCGTACTTTCTCTCTTTAGTCAATTTCACAAAACTTTCTCTCTCGTAATAATCTCGTAATCTCGTTTCCCTTTCTTAAGTTAGAAGAGAACTTCTTTAGAAATGATTGTGTAATCTTTTTTTCAGGGAAGTTAAATGCTTTCTTAAGAGAAACTAAACCTGTTAGAAAAAACTATTTTTTTCTTTCTTTTCTTTTCTTTTTTTTTTTTTTTTTAATTTTTAGAGAAATGTTTATTTTTATTTGAGAGATATGTTTGCATATTTATTTATTATTATTTAAATTCCACTAGGAGTTTATTAATGGGTATTTTAGCTATTATTTTTAATTAATTACACTTATATTTTACTTAATTTATCTGTTCCTTTACTTGTTTCACTCA